TGCACGGAAACGACTCGGTGTAAAACTCGGACCGGGCGCCCGTGAACGACACTTGCTTGGCGCCATCGGCGCACGCCAGCGACAGTGTCGCTGCATCGGGCAACGCGATCGACGTGAAATGCACCGAGAGGTAGCTCGCACCATCGCGATGGATGGTGTGGTTGAAGGGGCCGCTGTGGTCCCCGCGAAGGCTCAGCGGGACGGGATACCCAATCTGGAACGGCTGGGGCGACGCCAGCACCGAGGCCGTAAGGCCGGCGACAAGGGTCGAGATGAGCTTGGATGCTGCGAGCATGCGTACTCTCGAGCGAAATGCAAAGTGGTGTGGCATCGCAACTGGTGCAACCTGTCGTGTGTAACTCGGTCACGCACGAGATCCGCTGTGAGATGGTCACAATAGGCGAAGGTATTCGCTTACAAAACACAATTTGTGCATCCAATCAAGCGCTTTGAACTTGACATTGCAAGATGGTCGTGGCTGGGTATACTTGAATAGGCCAATATCGCGTAAAGTATGCTGGCCACGTGGGAATGATCTGAGAAGATCTGAGTTTGCAGCGCTGCCGTAGAAAGGCGCCGTTTGTCGTTCCCCTTTTCCGATGCTGGCACCATCACGAATGGTAGAGCGTTTGACAATGCTTCAGTTGCACTCAGGATGACACGTGTGCGGGTGACTTTGATTCGTTCAAGAGGCTGCGTGGCCTCTGTCGGCGTTACACAGTCCGCCGTCGCGTTTGGGTGTCGGCACGCGCCGTCCATGAGCCTCCTAGGTGCACCCACTCTGTACATATCTCGGTACTGGTATGACAGTATCCTCGTATCGGCGCCTTTCCTCCGCCGGTACTAGCGATTGCAATAACCTGGCACGCGCCAATTGTTGCGCAAATGGCTCTGCGACGATGTAGAAAGGACGTCGTACTCGCACTGCAGAACGCTACGACGCGTGATGCTCCGATATGTTTGCCTCTATTTCATTCGCCAGTGTCGCAGTCGCCCTTTGGCGCTCGATTATTCCTCCATGTTGGTATCTTGTGTCGAGCCGGACTGCACTGGACTCTCGTTCAGGACCGAGTCCTGCGTGGGCGCCGCGTTTGGGGGCGTCATGAGCTCCGGCATCGGGCTCGTCACCGACGTGGCGAATGCCGTCGCCTCTTCCACCGCCGACTTCATGATCGTCATGTAGCGCGCGGCCTGCACCGAGAGCCGCTGATGAGTTCTCGAGACCGATGCATGTGGCTACCTTGTTTTCGGCCATATCGAGCTTCGTCGTCGCTGCGGCCAATTGTTCTTGGACAGCGCGGAATTTTTCAAACATTTCATTGTGTCCCGAGATGATGCGATCGTAGTCGCTCAACGAAACCATTTCCTGGGACGGACTGGGCACATTACTATCGTGAGAAAGTGGAAAGAGCTCTTATCGTACTCGATGACGGTGCTTTGGGACGTGTCCAGCTTGATGCGCGCGTGGCCCGTGATGCCAATGTACCGGTGGTGGTCGCGGTCCTTGTTGCCTTCAATGGTCTATGATTGCATGCGTCGACGTGAGATGTGCACTGTCAGCAGTAGTATCTACCCTCTTGGCCGCGAGCAGTCGATCCTGAAGGTCGGCGCGCTACGTCATCGACGCGTGAGACGTCATACATCCTGTGTTTGCGCCTACTTCGTCCAAGAGACTTTGGTTGCGAAGGCGAAGCGAATTGACTTCGACCTCCAGCTGTCCATTCTATGACGGTCACAATAGTCCCCCGTCATTGCAGCGACAAGGATACCTGCTTCATGAGCGACAGGACCATCGCATCCTGCTTCTGGCGGTGCTCTTCCATCTAGTCGCCACCAAATCAGACCTTCAACATGTCATACGAATCAGAATTTACACTGCGTAGCTGCTCGGTGAGGTTCTTGTTGACAGCATTCTACACAGCAGGCTCAGATGGAGGCAGGGTCCTCACAAGCTACCATGTCGTCGTTCGAAGTCCGTGGCATGGCCGAGACGGGGGGCACAGGGTGGCCGTCGGTCGGGGGCCGTGTCTTGGCCCCCATGGCATCGCTCGTTCGGGATCGCGTCGCCGGTCGATGGCTCTCCGTAGCGTCTATCGCATGCTTTAGATGCTTGCGTGGTGCAGCTACGTACCGATGGATCGCTTGCGCTTGGACCCTTGCGACGGCGTTGGCGCTTGCGCGATCGCGCGGATGGTGCCAATGTACACGGCAGTGTCAAAGTTGCCACCGACTCGCCCGCCGACGCAGAGGATCGTCTAATGAACGACTTTGTGTGAGCGCGAAGAGGCGACAATGGCACAGTACGTCGGGGGTAACGGAGACGAAGGTGGCGCCGCTGCGATCGGAAGGCACGACACCGTCCGTGGTGATGGGGGAAAAAGCACACTGTGACGGTGCTCGCACCGTGCCTGCAATGGCGCCGCCATTTCCGCGTTTGGACATGACCCCCGAGAAACTGAGAAAGCCATCCGGGACCGACACCATCTAGAGGCAGTTTGACTTGAACGAACTAGGCTATCATCCCGTACGCTGTGGCGGAGGCGGTGGGTGCTATCGTTGTGGAGGCCCATCTCAAAGGGTAGCGAGAGTTCCGCCCACGAGTCCGAGCGCAGGTCGTACTCGTACGTGTGACTAAACACCGTCGTCTTGGTCGACGCTCGAGGTTGCGACAAGTCGGTTTGCGAATAGAGCTGCGACAACGGGCTCGCGAGTGTAAACTTTGACGGGCCAATGCCACCGTGCAAAATCACCTTGTGTGGGCCAAACGGTACCATGCCTGCAAACGCACGCCCGGACGGGCGGTAGCTGGACGCCGCCAGGTGCTGAAACGACTCGGTCTACAAACGACCATTTGAGTCGCCTTGACACACGAGAAGAGGAATGCACGGACGCTCGGGTCGAAGAGCATGCAGTCGTTGTAGTAGGTGCTCCCGTCGGCGTTTTGCCCACCAAAGAGGAAGATGCGGCCGTCCTCCAAGAGGACGCTCGCGTGGCCCACGCGCGGCGGGATGTCTACTCGCACCGCGTCACTGGTTGCGACGTCGGCCCACGTAATCGTGCGCAGATCGGGCCCGACCATGAATTTTTTGACCTCAAAGCCCGACATGTCGGCAAACCTTGGAATGCGTTTCGAGTCCATTGGTGTCGCTGCTTGCTCGCGCGCAACGAGGCGGTTGCCAAAGACGTAGACGGTGTTGCCAACCGCGTGCATCGAATGGAACCTACCGATGACGTCCGTCAATTGTACTACAATATGCGACGAGGTACCGGTGGAAAGCCTGCAAATCTTGGCGGATCGTCGTGAGAGGCGTCCAGTGTGCAGCGCGCGCAAACTCGGTCGCGGTGTTGTCCTGCGCGCTGGGCACGTCGGACGAGAGCGTGAGCAGCCACGCATCGTAAAAGTTTAGGCTCTCGCCGCGCCCGCCGTAGACCACGACGGTGTCCGAAGAGAGTTTGGCGGCCGCGTGGCCGAAGCGCTCAGCGGGGGTACGCGGCACCTCCTGAGGTGACGACGCGGCGGGAGCTGGCGGCACCGACGGGCCTGACGGCGTCGCCATCTCCCACTCGACCTTGTACCGAGGCGGGTTGAGCGTCATCGTGGCTTGGCGGCTTTGCACTTTGAAGCGCAAGGCGCCATGTAATTCGTTTGGCCAATCAACGGCGCGAATGCGTGGAAATCAAAGAGTGATGATCTTGGGAGACTAAAAACACGCCATTTTGCCAGGCGGCAGGCCGCCGCCACGTGCCCGCGCTTGGAATCGCATGGCATGATGAGCGACGCTCCTTCACACGACGCGTCGTATGCAGTACGAGATTCGTGATCGGACCATGCACAGACTGGGTGGCCAAAGTGGTCAGGTTACCCTTGTCCATACAAAGGCAAAGTGAACACGGTGGTAGGTTTGTGGTTAGCCCGCCATTACGGAGGCGTGGCGGGAGAGAGCATTTCTTCTTCGCAAACCAGCATGTCGATGTCCAACCGAAGTTATCGTGGCGCCGTAGATATGTTGCTCTACTTTGGATGCACGCGGAGAGGCAGACGCCCTGCATTCGAGTCGTATTGGTGCTCTCCACGTGACAACGGACAGCCCTCCATGCACTTCAAAAAAGGTTTAACTCCGTTTATAAACAAACCCTTGTGCTCATGAACTTCAACTTATCCGCCTGCATAACTGTGCTGAGCTGGTCACCATACCTCCCCGAAAGAGCTGTGCCATGAGGATCCAATACGCTGTCTACATGTATGTGGTCAAAGGTATAGAAGAGATGCATCTCTTATACACCCTCGATGTAGTGTACCCCGCTGGCCACAATCTCCGCGCAAGCTCCAAACCAGCATACGAATGTTAGTGGTCGAGGTCGCACTAAAGTCTCCACTTGTTGCAGTTTAGTACAGCGCGTACGTCATGACGGGGTAGAGCTCTTCGGGAAAGCCTTCTTGGCGCTCGTCGGCGAGGAGCGTCAGATTTGCTTGCCGAAAAATGCTCTTGTAGTACGCGGCCGACCTGCAAGCGAGGTGAGGTGGTGAACATAGTTTCGAAACTCGATGTACCGCGTCACGCTGCTGTCGTCTTCGTCGAGTTCGTACGGCGAGCCATCGACGATGATGTTTTCCTTGATGCAGATGACACCGCCCGGCCGCAGCGCCTAGCAATGCCATGCATTTTATAGAAGACATGTACAGGTGGCGATCGAACCTGCTGACACCGCTGGAGAAACGTGATAAAGTCGAGATCCATCAAGTGCGGACAGACCCATTGACACCAAATGAGGTCGTAGCTGCTGGGCGACGGGTCAAAGTCCTGCATGCCCATGCACAAAAGCGTCTCCACGCGGTGCTTTTCAGCGCCAATGTAGCGAGGCGCGGCCTTGAGAAGGCGCGGGCTTTGCTCGAGCAAGTCGACGGACGCAAAGAGGGGAAGGAGCAGGTGCTTGACGACGCGTCCGATGCCACCACCGCAGTCTATACTGCATTCGTACGATTAAAAGAGAGAATATGGTATTGCACCGATGGCACGATCGCGCTTGAAGGCAGGGCGCAGCGCCTGGACGCGCGCCAAAAACGCAGTCGAGCCTTCGACGTCGACAGGCGAAATGTACCCGTAGCCGCCCAAGACGCCACCGACGTCTGGCGGGCAGTTCTCTTCGTCCTTATGCAAACGTATAGGATGCTACTACTTGAGAGAGGACCAAGTACCTCCCAGTAGTCGGCGCCTTGTGTGTACCACGCGGCGGGCTTGGTCGCGTCGTCCTTGATGTCGGCGAGCTTGGTCGTCCACATGTCGTAGACCGAGCTAGCCAATGACCATTAAGGAAATGCCAGACGATCCAAGGACCTACGAGAACTCGAGGTGGAAGTCGAGGCCGACACCGTCCAAGTCGGCTTGGACTTGCGCCGACACGCGCTTGAGCTCGTCCCAGTCGATCGGCATGATGATGCACCAGTAAAATGAGCTCGCCCAATCCCGTGCATTTCCATAAATGAGTTTTTATAACCGATTATGAACGAGCGATATTTCGTGCACAACTTCGTCGTCGTCCTCGAGATAAAACGGCGTGTCATGTTTTCCCGATAAGAGTGAGACGCCCGCTGCGGTGTTGTAAGACAGGCCCCGAACCCCGCCTTGATCGTCAACCATTTCAGTTGGGGCAGTTTAAATGACTGGTCACATCGACCCGCTTTGTCGTGGCTGCACAGAATGGTTCATCCCACGCATGATGACGTGGCGCGCTCTTGACGCAGCACTTGACATGCATTTCCGATCGATTTGAGGCTGCTTCCGACCGCGACGCATCAACCATTTCTCAACACAAGGCCGCTGAGATCTTATTTGCACTGTGTGCACGAAAGGCTTTCCGCGGACAGTTGGCAAAATTGCTTCGGCCGCATCCCTTGTACTGTGAAAGTCTCTCACAGTCGACCGCGTGTACTCGCATATCTCTGCTGCGCAACAAGCAATGCCTTGTCGAGCTGGCGTTGTATTGGCACATCGCTGTCGACTTGTCGCTTAGGAGAACTCGCTCTTAAAAAGGCAACCGCTTTTGGCGCGCTATTTTTAGCAGCGCGACTATCATGCCACGTCAAGTGTAAATTCGGCGCGAGCATGTATACGCTGCGGAACCTCCTCCAAGACTGCAGCGGCAAGATGACGCGGACGTCGTGCGCCGCCGAGAAGAAGAAGGAGACTCTCGAAGAGGTCTGGGTCGCGCTCAATGCGTGGGTCGAAGCGCGGTACCAAGAGGGCAAGGTACATGCGCTTTTTCTCGTCTGCCACATTACCCTCCACGCGTAGGGCGTGCACATTGCGCCGTTTGGCAAGATCAGCTGGGAGACGCTCACGATTGGCCGCAACACGCGCAAGGTCCGGCCCATATTTATGCTCAACGACACGTTCGGGAAGACGTATGGCCTCCAGTACAAGAAGCGCGTGACCGTCCCGATCGTGGCGGCGATTGAAGACATCAACTTTACCAAACTCGCCATCAAATTCTCCAAAAACCTCACAAAAGACACGGTGTTTTGCGGCGTCCGAGACCTCTTGCACAAGATCGGCGAAGTCGCGTCGACGGGCGCGCAAATGACGATCGAAATGACGATTGGCAAAATCGTTGCCAAGAACCGCGCGATTCACATGCTCTTTGACCCGACGCAGTTTCCGAAAGCGCTCGAGGTACCATCTTGTCGTGTCGCCCATGGACGATGTATGTAAATGAATGGCGTGTAGAACATTGCGACCGCGTCCGTGGCGTCCGGGTGTCCGTCCGTCATTGGCGACCTCGCCGACTTTGACTTGAAACTCGAAGACTGCAACCAAGCCGAGGAGGCCGGCGGCATCCTTCTGTCGCCGGAACGCCCTCCGCAACCCTCGTCGACGACACCGCGAACACCGCGAACGCCGCGCCCGCCGCTGTCTGGCCGCGACCCTATCTCGCCCCGGCATGGGTTTGAGCAGCCCACAAGCATGACCCAGCTGCGGTCGCCCCGCCCCGCGTCGCGCAACGGTGTGGGCTATATGAGTGCGGAGACGCCGTCCAAGGACTGCACGACGATGCTCTTGTCGCCACCCCAAGTGCGCCAGCACATTGCGTACAAGGAGCCGTCGTTCGACTTTTCGTTCAAGGACGCGATCAATAGGGAGCTCGACCGGTCGGGCGTCGAGTTGCCCGAGGCCGGCCGCCCCGTCTCGGTCGCCGACGCGGCGTACGAGCGCCACATGCTCCGCGTCGAGAAGGAGGTCGAGGCCGAGGCCCAGCACGCAATGGACATTCATCGACACCACATGCGCGACCTTGAGGAGATCGCTACCGAGAAGCGGTCCAAGCGCCAGAGCGCGGAGAAGCTCCAAGACGAGATCCGCGACCAGATGTTCGAGTCGATGAAGAACAAGGAGATCGCGCGGCGCTCGGAGCATGGGACCGACCCGACCGAGAACACGTTCATCTCGCACAGCCACCTCTCGCGGCTCGGCTTCAACAGCCCCGAGACGCACAAGCGCGTCCAGGGCGACATGCACTACTATTTACACGAGCAGGTATGGATCTCGAAGCCACGACGACGATGCCAAGATGATTCGATGGCTTTAGATGAATGCCAAGGAGAAGGCGCGGCGGGACGCGCGGGAGAAGGCGCTGCTGGAAGACAAGCTCTTCCTCGAGAAGCTTCAGCGGGACATTGAGCAGGACCGCGAGTTTTCGGCCGCCGAGCAGGAGCGGCAGCGCAAAGCGCTCACGCAGGCGTGGGAGAAGGACCACTCGATCAAGGTCGCGCTGCAGCAGAGCCGCAAGGTCATGAACGATCGCATCAAAGGCGCGATCGCACCGTCAGCGCTCCGGCACATCAAGGCCGACGACAAGCCCGACTTCTCCGTGGGCTTTGATATGCGCTCGACCGCCAAGTAGCACGCATGTAGTAAGGACGGGTCAACCCAATATTGAATATTCATCGCTCGCGTGGTCGCTTGTGTGCATCTCCTACGCCTCGTCTTCTTCCTCGCCTTCCTCGTCGTCGTCGTCGTCCTGCATCTCGCGCTCCATCTTCTCCCGGAGGATCTGCACGATAGCGTTCTGTGTTCGGCGCTCGAGCTTCTTCATCTGCTTCTCCAGGCTGCGCTCGAGGTCCCACGTCGGCTTCTTGGGCGCGATCGCGACGACCTCGTCCTCAGGCTCGGGGTCGGCGACGGCCGCCGGTTCGTCAGCCACGGGCGTCTCGACCTCTTCGACCTGCTTGACAGGAACAGCGACGACCTCTTCGGTAGTGGCGCCGCCATTCTCCTTGCGCGCGCGGGCCTCGCGGATGGCCTTGAGGCGCTTCGCCCGGTCGTTGTCCATCGCTTCCGTGGGATGGTAAGTACTGTCCGGATATTATTCCGGATAAACCATGCAATTTGCGATCTTGGAGGGCCACATCCGCTGTGGACGCCTCGTGTGATGGAAGAGGACGCCGTTAGCTGCTATCGTTAGCTGTTTGCTTCACGCTCCATGGATAGCCAAGTTAACCTCCAGATGTGGCACGCTCGTAGTGTGGCAGACGAAGTTTGGATTTGGACTGCAACTTGAGACGCTAAAATGCACTCCTCTCCCCTGGCCCCAGCATGGACACTCTCAATGCACCCAAGGCGGCGGAGATACTTGGTGTTCAATCGTTGCACTTGCTTCCCAACCAGCCGGTCCTTGTGACCATGGGTCCATGAGTGACCCTTGTCGATACCGAGAACAAGAATCGGCTATATTCTAAGTGCAGGTCTTGTAACATTATGCACGGCCTGCAAGACGATACTCGTGTTGAAGTGGTTGGATACATAGCCCACACACAGAGCCAGAAATGCATGAAGCTGCCATGGAAGAGCTGCCAGGTATACGGTGTGATCCCAACTCGCGCTGCATTGCCGTGTTGGCTGGGCGGGCAAGTACATACGTCTTCGATGGGCTGTCTGAGCTTGGAGCAAAGTATGATTCGCACGGCAACTCTTGCGTCTAGTCCCATGCTCCAAGGCCGAGGCGGCTCGGGCGTGGCCGCTTCGTGGCACGCGCAGCGCGAAGCTACACGTGGGCGCTCGCTGATTCGCTAAAATGCGAACGGCATGTCGCGGCAACTAATTTCTCGCCCAGTCATTGGACCAACGAATCCCTCGCGACACCAACCTATTTTGCTTCTTCTACACCTGCGTGTCTGTAAAACCCCTTTATAGCAACATTTCTTTTCTTAAAGCAAGGTTTTGGGATGGACTCGGCGCCTGGCTTTGTTGAAGCGCAGTATGACAGTTTCTTCCCAACGGGCAGAAGATGCAGAATGCAGGTGGACAGAAATAGATGAAATTCTTTATTTTCTCCCATTTGCTTACAAATGCCAAGATAGTATAGAATTTGGCTCATTTTATTTGATGCCCACCGACGATTCTCGAACGTTTATTTTATGATTTAATCTTTGTATGCAATGGCTCTTGCCGGATCATTTGTGAATTTACTCACCCCCAGCAAGATGAACCAGCAGCGCATGACCGCCATCAAGGTCGGCTACAAGGGCGAGATCCACCGCGTCCGCGTCGACCTCGCGGCCTTCGCCTTCGCCGACCTCGAAGCGCTCTTCCGCGAGACCTTCAAGCTCGAAGCTGGCAGCTTTGTCATCCAGTACAAGGACAACGAGAACGACTGCCTCCATGTGGGCTCGGCCTCGGAGTTCGAGGAGGCGTGCAACGTCTTCCTCTCGTCGGGCGATGCGGTCAAGAGCCTTCGCTTTATGGCCGTGCCGACCATGGAGGCGGCCTTCCACGACAACGTCGCCGACCCGATCTTGAAGATTATCGAGTCGCTTGTCGAGAGCTTGCACCAGGCCATGGAGAAGGTCAAGAGCGAGCAGTGGAAGCAGCGCAGCGCCGAACTTGCGACCAAGGCGCAGGAGACGGCCCAGGCCACGGGCGTTGTCCTCAACGAGAAGATGCAGCAGACGGGCGTCGTCATCAACAAGGCCTACCACAAGACGGTCGAGGAGTCGAAGGTCGCCTTTGAAGCCGCCAAGAAGAGCCTCAACGAGATCGAGTTTGAGCACTTGAAGAAGAGCCTGAACGAAATCGACTTCGACCGCCTCGTCAAGGACACGTCGGACGGCGTCAAGTCTGCTGCCGACACGATTGCCGCGTACGCCAACCAGCTCGTGGAGGAAATCCAGCAGCTCAAGGAGAAGACTGCGACGCCCGTGGCTGCCCCCGTCGTCGCCGAAGCCGAAGTCGAGATCGCTGAAGTTACGGTCGAGGCGCCGGTCGTCGCCGAAGAGCAGGTCGAGGCCGAATGGGAGCAGGTTGTCGAGGAAGCCCCCGTGGTTGTCGAAGCTGCCCCTGAGCCCAGCGCCGAAGAGCTTAAGTGGGCCGCGCAGCTCGTCCTCATCCGCGAGGTCTTCCCGGACGTCGACGCTGTCCGCGCCACTGCGCTCCTGGAGGCTGCCAAGGGCGACGTGAACGTTGTCTTGAACAGCCTCTTTGAGATGTAAGCAGCGAGCCATGCGATCGCCCGCGTCCTATATCTAATTTCATTTTAAGATGAGTCTATCAATGCCCACACATAGTACAATCTGGGGTGCTCGTCAACGCGCCCGCGGCGATCGATGGCTGGTCTTGTTGGTCTCGTGAGGACGTATCTAGAAGAAGACCGTCATTCCAAAGCATAGGAAAGAAGGGCAAGCAAGACCAAATCCAGTTGAATTCCCTTAAACAAATACATGCTCCCGGGGCACGCGCTGGACTGACGAATCTCAACCCAGGTCTCGTCTGGAGCAACCAGCGATCGCACTAAACGTTGTATCTGCGCAGCACCAGAATCGATGCTTGCTGACGCCTTGTCGGAGGTGTCCCATCCACGACGCACCACGGTCTTGGATTCCGTGCAGAAGTCGAGGGTGATCGGTCGGACCCCGGGGCACCGATCAAACTTGTAAAATTGGTTCCGGCCCGAGGCAATGACGACGGACGCGAGCGGCAAGGCGATCTCGGGATGGCTCTTCCGGCGCACGACGACGGGCTTCTTCAACATGAAGGGCACGGGCGACTGGGGCCGCGTGTGGTGCGAGTTTGAGTACGCGACCGGCGTTTTCTCCGTGTACCTCGACGGGCAGAAGCACCGCCGGCTCTTGAGCTGGAAGATGCTGCAGTGCTCGATCCAGCACGTGCGCAACGACGGCCGGTACTGCATCGAGCTCGAGTTTGTCCAGCAAAAGAAGAAGGAGACGCTGTCGTCGGCGCCGGAAAGCCACGACATTGAGTGGTGGTTTGACGTGCTCACCACGTCCAAGCTCGCGCTCGCCGAGGGCCGCGTGCCCAACCCGCGCCTCCTCGTCCGCACGCCACCGACGTCGCTGCCCGTCAAGATCGCGCCCGAGTACGAGAAGCGCGGGAAGGCGCGGACGCCGGCCAAGCCCGCGCTCCGCCGTCGCCAGCCGCGCCTCGCGACCAACCTCTCGCGCTTTGAGCGCATCACGGTCTACGAGACGCAGACGCACTTTTACGTCGTGGGCTCGGACCGCACGTACTCGCGCTTCCGCCTCTTCTCGCTCGACCGCCTCGAGGATGCACCGTCGTCACTCGACGCGATCTTCAAGGAAGACCCGGCGGTCTACAGCTGGGAAGAGATGGAGGCGCTCTTGCAAGGCCTCGACACGGAGGCGCGGGCGGCGACCAAGTACGGCCTCGTGCGCGCCTTCTCGGCCGTCGCGATCGTTGGTTTTATCAAGTTTCTGCAAGGCTACTACCTCATCGTGGTCACGCAGCGCCGCAAGATTGGGTGCATTGGCGGCCACTTCATCTACGCGATCCAGGCGACACAGTGCCTCCCGATTCGCCGCCCAAAGTCGGACGGATCGTCCTGGACGTGGGTCTCGCGCTGGCTCAACCCGAGCCCGATCGAGGACGCGGAGGCGCGGTACCTCGGGCTCTTCCACTTTGTGGACTTGACCAAGGACTTTTACTACAGCTACACGTACGACCTCACGCACACGCTGCAGCACAACATGACGACGGACCAGACCAAGTCGCTCGACATGTATGCATGCCATGATTTGCCATCGTACATGAGATTGACGATGGACTAGGTTTGAGTGGAACCACCACCTCAACAAGGAGTTTACGGCGGCATTATCGTCGCCCGCGAGCGCCGAGTGGGTCCAGCCGCTCCTCCTTGGCTTTTACGAGCAGCGCAAGTGCTCGCTCTTTGGTCGACTCATTTCGGTGATCGTGCTCGCGCGGCGATCGCGCCATTTCGCCGGCACGCGCTACCTCAAACGCGGCGTACGTAGCCAATCAGCACGAGCCCTTTGAATCTGTCAGGCTGACAGCATATTTGGATCTTATCTAGATTGCCGACACGGGCAAGGTTGCCAACGACGTCGAAACCGAGCAGATCATTGAGGACGAAAACACTCATGGCAAGTTCAGCGCGTTCGTCCAGTACCGTGGGTCGATCCCGATTTTCTGGGCCCAAGAGACGAGCGTGACGATCCCGAAACCACCGATCCAGCGTACAAGCTTTCTTATTCCCTGGACTTATCGCTGAGTGCTTGTATTTGTAGTCAACCGCGTTGACCCGTCGTACGCCGCGACCCAAGCCCACTTTGTGGACCTCTTTGAGCGCTACGGGTCGCCGACGCTGGTGCTCAACCTCGTCAAGCAGCACGAGAAGGTCCAGCGCGAAATGATTGTCGGCACGGGCTTCAAGAGCGCGGTCGAGTACATCAACACGTTCATTCCGCAAGAGCACAAGCTGCGCTACGTCGCGCTTGACTACTCGCGCCTGAGCAAGATGCGCGTCGAGCAAGGCTCCCGCGTCGAAGCCGTGCGCCAAGCGCTCGACAAGGTCGGCACGTGGGCCCTCGATCAAACAGGCTTTTTCTGCTCGGCCCCCAAGCGCCACCTGGGCTCGGGTACGATATCGCGTCCGTATCGCCGTTCATAATGGTCGATTTGACTAGGGGCCAACAAGCGCACGGCCCGTCGCGCGTCGCCCGCGCGGCCCCCGTCCTCCTATGGCGTACGAACATATCTGGTCATTGCCACTGGATGCGAGACTTTGTGTGTAGCCGGTACCACCCGTGTCGACGGGCGAGGCGCGACCGTCCAGTCCGACGATCCCGCGCGACTCCGGCGACTGGCTCGAGCAGCACGGCGTGCTTCGCACCAACTGCATCGACTGCCTCGACCGCACCAACGTCGCCCAATTCAGCGTCGCGATGCGGGTACCTCGGCTCGAAAATCCGGCCAACTTCAAAAACTCACAAGCGCTTGCGCGTAGGCCCTCGGCCAACAGCTCTATGCGATGGGCATCCGCAACACGCCGCACCTTGAGACGTCGTCGCCGATCTTGGCCGAGCTCACGCGCATGTTCGGGCGCATGGGCGACATCATCTCGATGCAGTACGGCGGGTCGGAGGCCAATAAGAAGGTGGCGCCATCAAAAGATACGATCAAGCACTGGGAGCTGCTCACGTCGATTCGTCGCTACTACAGCAACGCGTTTACGGACATGGCCAAGCAGGACGCGATCAACCTCTTCCTTGGCAACTTTGTGCCGCGGGCGTCCGAGCCGCCGCTCTGGGAACTCGAGAGCGACTACTACCTGCACAATTTTCAGGTCGAGCGGCCGTTGGCGCTGCCCGACATGGGCCCGTTCCACCGCATCCACAACCTCGTCGCGCTCAAGCGCAGCCTTGGTCCGAGCTCCAAGGCCGAGTACCTCCGCCTCCGCGCGTCGCTGCTCAACGAGACGTGGTGGAAGTCGGCGGTCGAGGCGTTTGACGCGCCAAAGTTCTTTACGGACAAGCTCCTCCTCCCGAGCCCCGCGCATGGCGACGGCAAGCCGCTGCTGATGCGCAAGAGCAGCGCGACGAGCTCGGCCGTGCTCGAAGACTCGACCATCTCCGAAAAGTCGCTCTTGTGGATGCAGACGCAAGACAAGGAAGAGTTCTTTTCGTTTGACGCGGCGCTCGCGTCGTCGTTCATGCTGCCGATCGCGATGAAGGAGCACGACCCGCACACGTTCTCCACGCCGCCGCCACCGTCGTCGTCGTCAAGCGTCCAAATCGGATCGAGTAGCCTCACGCGCCAAGTGCGCTCCATGTCGGCACCAGAGGAGACGCTCCAAGATGTCTCGAGCGGCTCGTCGCTCAAGCGCAGCCTCAGCAACATGCGGCTGCAAGAGCTGCTTCGGAAAGAGAGTAGCACGCTTGACGATGCCAAGGCCGCGCTCTTGCTGCCCCCGATGCTCGACGCGCCGCCGCTCGACATTGAAGAGTACGCGGCTTCGCGCGGCCTCAAGCGCGTGTACGTGGGCACGGCCATGGGCGCGTCGTCGTCCGACCCGATCTACGACCGGTACGTCGAGTCGGGCGAGAGCCTCTCGTTCTGGGAGAAGGAGGCGAAGAACGTCAAGTCGGACTTTATCCTGTATCTCCGCGATGCCTCGATCGACGTCGATGATGTCGGCGCCGTGTTTGAAGCCGCGGTTCGGGGCGGCTGTACGTACAAGATCCAGTCGGGCGTCTACGCGGGCTTGGAGCAGCACGTCAAGGCGCGCGGGCTCCTCTCCAAGAAATTTTTCAAAAACGAAAAGGACCGCCAATTCATCTGCAACGCGCTCGACGAAGCGCAGCTCTGCGAGATGCACCCGGCGCCCCCGTCCGACATGGAGCTCTACGCGTCGTTCTTTGACGAAGTGACGCCGCTCTTGCCGCGCCTCGTCGTTGGCGACCACTCGATTGCGTCCTCGGGCTTTGAGTTGGACGCGACCCTCGAGGCTGAGAAGCTCAAGGCCGGCAGCGTCGTCGAAGAGTTCATCGATTGCAACGCGGTCAGCGACGACGTCCGCAAGAGCATGGCGACGCTTGTCTTTGTCAAAAAGTAGGCAATCGACTGAAATATATATTGATGGATTGCATTCAAGTACAACCACCTACTAACTGAGTCGATCTCGGGGAGTCCATCACCGAACGCTTCCACAGCGTTCAAGCTGGTGCGAGACTCGAAACTAGTCGGTCGCTCGATGTCGTCACGCGGAACTCTAGTCGTTCAATCGAGTCAAACGCAAGCCATTGGACGAGTCGCTCAGTTAGTCGATCTCTCCATTTCACGTGGAACTCGAGTCGTTTATTCAAGTCGAACACTAGTCGAACGCTAGTCGTTGGAATAGTTGGTCAGTTAGTCATTGCCCAGTGTATCTTTGCCAAGCGACGCCGCCACCATGTCCTTCCGCGAGTTGCGCAACCTGACCGAGATGATGCGGGCGCTGGGGTACCCGCGGCCCGTCTCGGTCGAGAACTTCCGGACGCCCAACTTTGAGCTCGTGTCGGACCTCCTCTACTGGATGGCGAAAAAGTACGACCCGAGCTCGAGCGTCACGGAGGAGATCGACACGGAGGAAGACCGCATTACGTTCCTGACTTCGGTCACGTCCGAGTTCTTCAACAAGGCGCGCATCCGCCTCAACCCCAAGAAGCTGTATGCGGCCGACGGCTTTGCGGTGAAAGAGCTCCTCAAGGTCGCCAAGGTGCTCTACGAAGCGTCGCGCATCGACCCGTCGAGCCTCGAGACCGACGACGACGAGGTCTCGACCAAGAGCCTCCTCGGCTCCAAGCTCAAGGACGCCAAGGCCACGCGCGCCCTCTCGGCCGAGATTACTGACTGCGGTGCCAAGCTCTTTGACCTGCTCGAGAACGAACTCGACGTCCGTGAGGCGCGCTCGAATGCGCTTCGGTTCCTCGACACGGTCTCGTCCAACCTCGAGGCGACGGCCGAGCACAAGTTTCTCGAAAAGTCCATCAAGGAGCTCATCGCAGGCGTCTCTGAGAACGTCGAGAGCATGGAGCGGCAGTGCGCCGAGCTCGACGCGGAAGAGAAGGCGCTGAGCGCCAAGATCAAGAAAGCCCAAGGCGACCTCGAGCGCAGCGAGAAGCGACTCAAGTCGCTCCAGAACGTCCGCCCAGCGTTCATGGACGAGTACGAGAAGCTCGAGAAGGAGCTGGAGCGCCAGTATGCGATCTACTGCGAGCGCTTCCGCAACCTCGACTACCTCCAGCGCGAGCTCGACTTGCACAACGACCGCGAGCTCAAGAAGCTGCAAGAGAACGACCGGACGCTCAAGAAGATGCAGAAAAAGTTCCGCGACGACGAACTCGCGATTTTGCGCGGCGAACAAGAGGAGCCCGGCGACGCGCCACTGCCGAGCTCCGACCACGACGCCAAGAGCAACCAGCAGCAGCAGAGCTCGATGGCCAAGGTGAGCAAGGACCAACCCGACGGTCGGCGCAAGAGCAAGGCGAATGCCAATGTCAACTCGTCCGAAAGCGAAGACGAAAGTGAAGACGACGAGAGTGAAGACGACGACACGCCCGCCGTCGTTGCCAAGTCGTCGGCAACGGCCAAAGCGGCCAAAGGGTCAGAAGACGACGAGAGCGAGGACGAAGTTTCGGTCGCCGACTCGATCGACAACGACGACGAGTCCGGCTCAGGCTCGGAGGTCGAGTCGAACGGATCCAAGTCCGGCTCGGGCGCGTCCGAGTCGGGTTCTGACTCGGACCCTGACTTTTAGAGCTCAACGATATATAGCATGTAACTCTGTGAATAACGAGGTTATACAGATTTGTGTACAGTCGACACGAGCGATTATGCGAGGGACATCGACGCTTTGGTCGCATGGTTGACTATCGTAGACCAGTTGCCCGGGTACAGAACGATGCCCGTGAGCGTCAGCGCCGAGAAGGAGACACCCGCTGCAAGACCGACCCAAAGACCGGCGACCCCCACAGCGTAGTAGAGCCCGAGAAGAGCCGCCAGCGGTACGCCCACCACATAGTAGGCAAAGAGGCTGACGTAAACACCTAGTCGCACCATGTACAATAACGTCATGGCCGCGTGCGACAGTGGTACCGAGATGCTGCTTGCCCATGGCGCGTAGAATGCCCTTGGCCGTGCAGTTGACGCCATCGAGCACCTCGAAGATCGCGAGCACCAGCAGCGTGTCCTGCGCTTGTCTACGAGCATATTCTTGAAATGTCAATATATCAACGCAGTGTCTACGCAATCGTTGTCGGGTCGTTGACGATCCAGGTTGGGATGTATGCCCGTGCCGCCACGAGTCCAAGAGCTACGCGAGATGCGGTGATACATCCATACAGAGGGTGCGTGACGTACCGACGAACACGCCGGTGGCTGCAGTGAGCGCGAGCCCGAGCGTCGACATGTGCTTGGCGTGCGCAACGTTGTCGGCGCCAATCAACTGCCCGACGCGGACGCCCGTGGCCACCGAGACCCCGAGAAAGATACTGTAGACCGATGACGAGACGTTGGCGACGATCTAGACGAGCCAATGGTGAGCAGGATACATACATGAGACGCGCGTTGTACGGCGTGAACACTAATGGCCACGGCAGGATGGACGAGCATGCCCGCGAGGAGCGCCATGAGCTCGAACGCCCACCATTCCATGAGCATCATCGCCATGCCTAACACAATAGTAGCTACGCTGTTGCATCGCAATATGCATACCTGCGGCCCCGAGCTGCAAAAAGGCAGGCGCATGCATGCTTGCTTGGCGCCAGCTCGTGGTGTCCAGTGCCCAGGATTGGTGCGCGGACGAGACGCAGAGGTACAGAAGCGTGAGAAGAGCGAGGCTCCAGTTGGAGACGAGCCAAGCAAATGCCGCGCCGTAGAAACCTTCGTCACTCGTTATCGAGATAGCATTTAGTGGCTTGGACGTACCCAAGGGCGAGTGGTAGCAAAAGAGATACGCGAGCGCAACGTAGATGCCATTGCTGAGGAGAGCAATGTGCACCATTGGTGACGCAATGTTTTGTGCCTGCAGCGTGCGCTTTACGAGCTCATACAGATAGAGCCCAGGAAGCCCCAAGATCGTGATGCGGGAGTAGGTGCCAGCGAAGGAAGCCACTCTGGCGTCCTGGCCAAGCGTCTCGAGGACAACTTGAGCGTTGACATTGATGAGTACCATCAACACATATGCAGCTCTACACATATATGAGCGGCTGTCGACAAAAGCGATAGAGTGCAAGGGTACCCGACGACGAGCACACCCGTGCGCAGGTGGAGCCCGAGCAGCTCAGACTTCTTGGCGCCAACGGCTTGGGAACACAGTGTATCCATGGCCGAGATGAGACCATTCCCGACCGAAATCCCCGTCACTGCAGTGAGCTATTGTACATCTCAGAACGTATAGATCCTTCTTGGCGGTGTACCATTGTCGAGAGGGCAGCGGCGCTAACGTAGTCTTGGACGTCTGCCATGTCGAGGTGGCCAACAATGGCTAGTGCCAGCAGCGTTGGAAGACTCTCCAGCACAAACGTCGCCATCTACGCTCGTCAGTTTCTAACAATTCGATTGGACGAGCGATATGTTACCAAGGGCAGCGCCATGCGCATCACACCGAGTCCTTCGGCCCAGGCATTGAAGGTAGGATGCAGCAGCGGCGTCGACTCGATTGTTGACATGGCAGCGCGTTGTAGTGTGCCTGCTAAAGATCGCACTCGGTGACTTCTACGCGTTGCCTTATGTCCACGCGCACAGTTCGCGGAATGGTGCGCGTGGTGTTGCGGCTGCGAGGATCGGCAAGGCTCGGAGACGGCGCTGGAGCTGCCACGTCATGGGCGCAATTGGCTAGACGCACGCCACTCAATTTCCGGATAGTCGACCGAACCGGCCACTTGCGTCACCCCGCCGCTCCAGTCCAAGCTCGACAGACCCGGTTAAAACCCGTTGCTCGCACTTGTCGCGGTTGGCTAAAGTACGTTAAACGACGCACTCAACGTTAAACCGACAAATGAAGCAGATGTGCGCTGGGGATTGCGCTCCGCATGAAAGCCCAGCGTCCAGAACTGTCTTGAAATTTGTATGCATATGGTAGAGGCCCTTGGTGCAGTGTTTTTATCCTCTACACGGTTGCAAGGTCGGTGTTTCTAGTCTTATGGATCTTTATCCTTTATACATAAAATATGAAACACCCAGCTACAAAACCGAACTTACGCCGTCCGTTCTTCTTGTTCGAAGGATCCTCAACATCCCTGGGCGTCCTGAGAGCATCATCAGCATAGCAGGACTTGGCCATGAAGCCGTCGTACGCCCCGCTTAGCCGGCAAGAGGCCGCGCGCCCGCAGTACGAGAGCGTCGACTTCGTTCCGTACGACTCGCCGGGCCACCTGCACTCGCCCGCGTGCTACAACGATAGCAACTGCCAGGAGTGCCAACTGCAGCAGTACCCGCCGCCGACGACGGCCACGTCGCTGATCTCGTCGTTCCTTGGCCACGAGACAACGAGCGCGTTCCTCAAATGGTGTCTGAGCTTTGTCATTGGCGTCATCACAGCCTACATTGCCATCTTCATCTCGACCGCGACGGGCTCGATCATCCACTGGAAGTACACGCAGCTTCGAGGCATCCTCGGTACAAGCCATACAATCTCGTATCACAACGGCATGGCGCTCACGACACCTGCGCTTAGAGCACGAAAAGAGCGGGCTAACGTATACCGGCGCGGGGCTTCTCTTCCTCGTCCTCTTCAATGCGACGCTCGTTGGCGTGGCGAGCACGGTCATTCTGTACTTTGCGCCGTCCGCTGCCGGGTCGGGCATCCCTGAAACCAAGAGCACGCTCAACGGCGTCCTGGTCAAAGCGTGGATGAGCCCATCCACGCTCATTTGCAAGGTCCTCCTGCAGATACATGCGATCCTCGCCATCGCTCATGCGCTTCCTCGGCTCGTAGACCTTGGGCATCATGATGTCGGTGGGCGGCGGGCTACCAGTCGGCCGCGAAGGGCCGCTCATCCACATGTACGTACCCTTCCTCCGCTGTCCAGTGCCCACCACATCCTTCTCATCATACTATTCCGCAGTGGTGCGATCGTCGCCACGACGTTGACGTCCAAGCGCACGTACCAGTGCTGGCAGTCGGCGCGGGTACACTCAATCTCTAATCTAGAATGACCCGCGATACTCGTGTAGATAACGTTGCTGCGAGAGAAGGACGTCCGTGACCTTGTCACGTGCGGTGCCGCGGCGGGCGTCGCTGCGGCGTTTGGTGCGCCCATTGGCGGCGTCCTCTTTGCCCTCGAAGAAGGCGCGTCGTTCCTCTCGCCCAAGCTCATTTGGCGCGCGTTCTTCTGTGCGATGACGGCCGCCTTTGTCGGGTTTGGCACCAACGTCTTTGTCGGTGGCTCGTTCAATGAGGAGGCAAAGAAATCGGTCCTCTTCTCGTTTGGCAAGATGTCGGACCCGAGCGTCGACCGGGCCGCGTACGTGCCATATGAGCTCCTCGTGTTTGTGGGCATGGGCATTGCGGTTTGGTCTCATATTTGATTCAGAGATGCTAACATTTGTCTAGGGCGGGATCTGCGGCGCCATTTATACGCACCTGAATCATCTTCTCATGTTTCGCTGGAATTTGAAGAGTATGAAAGCGCCTTTGAAAGTGCTCCACGTCGTGAGCCTCGGTGTCGGAGTTTCGTTTCTTTGGTTTGGCCTCGCGTTTGGCCTCGGGTCCTGCAAGCCACTGCCGACGCCGATCGCGACGGCCCCCGAGAAGCTCGAGCTGCGGTCCGAGGTACGCATCTCGAGTCATTTTGCTGCTGGAACGCAAGTGGATATGGGCTAGTTGGTGCAGTTTTACTGTGGTCCAAACCAGTACAACGATCTCGCGAGTCTCTTCTTGACGTCACCCGACACGGCGCTCAAGCAGGTACGGCTATCTCTCCCTTTTCTTTCTGTCGCAAAACTGACTGCCGGTATTACATAGCTCTTGCATTTTGGCGAAGTCGCGACTGCACCGTCCGACTTTACCGCGGCCTCGCTGCTCGCCTACGGCCTTTGCCTCTTTCTCGTAAGCGCTCGATATTCAAATGCAATTATCTAACACTGGGTAGGGCTCGGCACTGACGTTTGGCAGTGCCATCTCGGGCGGGGTTTTCATCCCGTGTATTCTCAGCGGCGCCGCGCTCGGACGCCTCTTTGGCGGCTTGGTACACGCTACTTTAGTCGCTTTCAATCGACTAAACGTGTCTTGGTCGAGTAGATGCAGGCCGATGACGTCAACTACATGCATCTCAGCACCTACTCGCTTGTCGGGGCGGCAGCGATGCTCGGTGGCGTCACACGCATGACCATCTCGCTGACGATCATCCTCTTGGAAGCGACGGGTACGCTTCAACTTGGTAGCGATGCTAGTACGATGTGTGAGTAGGAGATCTGCAGTACGCACTGCCACTCATGATGACGCTCATGTCGGCGCGCTGGGTCGGCAACTCGCTGAGCACGGTACTGATGTCAATGCTGGGAGCTCGGCTGCAACAGTTGGTGCGATTAGGGCTTGTACGACTTGCATATCCACGGACGAGGCATCCCGTTCTTGGATTGGAGTCCGCCGTACGCGTTTGAAACGTTTACTGTCGCCCATGTGATGAAGGACGAGCCCGTATACCTCTCCAAGGTACGTCAAAATTTGCACATTGCACGGGACTCATGTGTTGTTTCTTAGCGCGAGACGGTGGGGACGCTCCTCAAGACGCTCATCGAATGTACGCACGACCATGCGTGGGCCGTTGTTGAGGAACCCGGGTCGCTTGTCCTCGCTGGCACACTGCAACGGTAGCCTTGCTACTTGAGTGTTTGTTGAAGAGGCGACTAGATCGACACTGGGGGCGCTGCTTCTCGACAAGTCGGCGTGGCGGGACGAGCTCCTGCGCGGCAGTTTTGACGCCGACGACCGCGAAGACTCAATCGAAGCCGTCGATTTTTCCAAGAACGACCGCGAGACCGTCATCAACCTCGAGCGCTACATCAACCCATCTCCATTTTTGATTCCTAGTACCTTGAGATATGTCGACGTCGTCTCATCCTTGTGCTCTAGTCGAAGCCTCGGCCGCCCAAGCCTACCGCCTCTTCCGGTCCCTTGGCCTCTCGTCGCTCTGCGTTGTACGGACTTTTTCATTTGGTCAAGTACTTGTTCAATCGAATGGTAGGTGACCAAGTCGGGCGAGCTCGCCGGTCTCGTGACGCGCGATGAATTGTATCATTTCAGCCGCCAAGAGCACTAGACGCCCCTTAGAGCACAACACCCTCTGTATGCTGTCCTTGACATTTCTTTTGACCGCTCCTCCTACCGCAATACAGTGTATGTACCGCTATCAGCTCGGTCCGGAGATCGCTGGGTAGTCGTCGCATTGTCGACACCCCTGTCCCCTGCAGCGCATGGCTGGTCTTCTTAGACTTAGTCTTAGTCGCTGCCATTGACTAAGAAGACCAGCCTCAGTCGGTGGCCTGCGACGGGGCAAAGCTACTCGACGGTGCGGTTGACACGCGAAGGCGCGGGGAAACTTCGTCGGGGCGCAAAATAATAGCCAATCAGCGTCCGAATAAAATGCAAGGCCGCGACGCCCAAGTGTGACGAGAGTGGATGTTTATCTGGGTTAAAGTAAGAGAGAGTGCGGAGAGTGAGCGCTCCGTGGGCCCCGGGGTTCTTGGCCAGCAGACGCATTTTCACAAGTCGAGAGCGATGGCCCGGAAGCGCAACAATCGCCGTGGCGACGACTCGGACGACGAGCCCGCGCCCGCCAAGGTCGTGGAAGAGACGCCCAAGGCCGGCAAGGGGAAGAAGGAGCCCAAGGGCAAGAAGGGCGGGAAGCGCCGGGGCGACGACTCGGACGACGAGCCCGCGCCCAAGGTCGAAGAGGTCGACCCGTACGCCCAGGTGGCGGCGAGCATGGCCTCCAAGAAGAAGGACAAGAAGAAGGGCAAGAAGCAGGCCTCCTTTGCGGACGATGATGATGACGAGGAAGAGAAGATCGTCGTCGAAGACGTCGAGGAAGAAGAGGACCCGTACCTCCAGGCCGCGGCCAGCATGAAGTCCAAGAAGAAGGACAAGAAGAAGGGCAAGAAGCAGGCGTCGTTCGCGGACGACGACGACGAGGAAGAGAAGATTGCCGTCGTCGAAGACGTCGAGGAGGACGAGGAAGACCCGTACCTCCAGGCCGCGGCCAGCATGAAGTCCAAGAAGAAGGACAAGAAGAAGGGCAAGAAGCAGGCGTTTGCTGAGGATGAGGTCGAGGAAGAAGAGGCCGAGGAAGAAGACGTCTCGGTCGTCGCGGCTGAAGACGAAGCGGAAGACGAGGAAGATCCGTACGCCGCGGCCGCCGCCAGCATCGCGGCCAAGAAGAGCAGCAAGAAGAAGGACAAGAAGAAGGCGGCGATGATGGAAGAGCTCGCCAAGGCCGAGGCCGCCAAGGAGGAAGAGGAGGTCGCGACCAAGAAGAAGGATAAGAAGAAGGACAAGAAGAAGGCCGCGCTCATCGCCGAGCTCGAAAAGACGGAGGAAGCCAACGCGGCCAACGACGATGACGACGATAACGACAGCGAAGAGAAGAAGCCCAAGAAGGAGAAGAAGGAAAAGAAGGACAAGAAGCTCAGCAACAAGGAGCGCCGCAAGCTCAAGGAAGAAGCCGAGGCCGTCGAGCGCGAGACCGAGTACCACCGCGCGGCCAACCCGCTCGACGGGCAGCAGTTCTCCGTGTCGCAGCAAGCGATCACGGAAGACGCCAACTGGGAGAACGCGACGGACATCCACATTGACAACTTCACCATCAACGCGCACAACAAGCTCCTCTTTGACAACGCGTCGCTGCACATCAACCATGGCGGCAAGTACGGTCTCGTCGGTCCCAACGGTCAAGGTAAGACGACGATCCTCAAGATGATTGCGCTTGGCGAGCTCCGCATTCCGCCCAAGATCGACTGCTTGTACGTCGAGCAAGAAGTTGTCGCTGACGACACGCGCGCCGTTGACGCCGTCCTCAAGGCCGACGCCGAGCGCTGGGCGCTTCTCGAAGAAGAAAAGAGCCTCTTGAAGAAGCTCGAAGATGGTGAAAGCGAGCAGGCCGACCAGCGGTACGACGATACCAACCGGTGTTGACATGGAAAACTCATGACGTTCTGTGGCATAGTTTGAATGAAGTATACGAGCTCCTTGCGGGCATGAACGCGGCGGCTGCCGAAGCCCGCGCGCGCCGTATTCTCTTCGGTCTCGGTTTCGACTCGATGATGCAGGAGAAGTCAACCAAGGACTTTTCCGGTGGTTGGCGTATGCGTATCTCGCTCGCCAAGGCGCTGTACGTGGAGCCGACGTTGCTCATGCTTGATGAACCGACGAACCACTTGGATCTCAACGCTGTCATTTGGCTCGACGATTACCTCCAGAAGTGGAAGAAGACGCTGCTCATTGTGTCGCACGACGCCGACTTCCTCAACTCGGTCTGCGGTGAAATCCTCCACCTCGACCAGAAGAAGCTTACGCCGTACCGCGGCAACTACGACATGTTCCGCGAGATGGAGGTCCAGAAGCGCAAGCAGGCCGAGAAGGCGTGGGAGAAGCAGCAAAAGCAGCTCCGCAACCTCAAGGCGTCGGGTACGTCGTCCAAGAAGGCGACGGACATTGTCAAGAAGCAGCGCGAGCCTGGTGCCCGCGCCGCCAAGAAGCAAGCCAAGTCGAGCGTCGAATCGGCACAGGACGGTGGTAACACGCTTGCCCTTCTCGAGCGCCCGCGCGAGTACACGGTCAAGTTTTCGTTCAAGGAGATCACGCAGCTGTCGCCGCCGATCCTCGAAGTGCGCGAAGTGAGCTGGAAGTACGGCAACTCCCCGTACTTGTTCAAGGACGTCGACTTTGGTATCGATACGGACTCGCGCGTCTGCATTGTCGGCCCCAACGGTGTCGGCAAGTCGACCTTGCTCAAGATCATCACGGGTGACCTCAACCCCGAGGAAGGCGAAGTCCGTCGCAACGGCCGCCTTCGTATGGGTGTGTACAACCAACATTTTGTCGACAAGGTACCTTGCGTCAGTGGTCTATTCGCGAGATGCTCATGGCAATGTTTAGCTGCCCATGGGTGAGACGCCTGTCGAGTACCTCCGCCGCCTCTTCCAGGATATTACGTACCAGGATGCGCGCAACTTGCTCGGCAAGGTCGGCTTGGAAGGTCACGCGCACGAGATCAAGAACCGTCTCCTTTCGGGTGGTCAGAAGGCGCGTGTCGTGCTCGCCGAACTCATCTTGCTCAACCCGCACGTGCTCGTGCTCGATGAACCGACCAACAACTTGGATATCGAGTCGATCGACGCCTTGTGCGAAGCGCTCAACCACTACGACGGCGGCGTCGTTGTCGTTACGCACGACGCGCGTCTCATTGAGGCCATTCGGTGTACGCTCTGGGTTGTCGACGACTTGGACTGCGTCGCATACCCGGGCACGTTCCACGAATACAAGAACAGCATTCTCGAGGACATTATGAAGAAGGCCGAGAAGGAGGAGGAGCGCATCCACGACAGCCAGTCCAAGAAGGCCGAGAAGCGCGCGCTCCAGTTTGCCAAGAAGGCCTAAGTGTTTAAAAATCCAAATTCATCCATCCACCTTTACTTGGTTTGCGACAACATCGTCGCGAGCTCCGGCACGGGACGTCGCGTCGTCACGTACGATGCAAAGGCTGCTGCCGACAGCCCCGTCGACTCGGTCGTCGGCAGCATGTCGTTGATCTGAAGGCTTAAGAGCGCAGGGTCACTCGAGTACGGTGCTAGAATCCCTCGGAGGTCGCTTGGAGAGAGATCGTTCATGCTCGTAGGCGTCTCCTTGTGGGCCATAAGCAGCAGCCACTGGTGGATTGCTGGGCGCGTCATGAGGTTGCGACAGAAGCATCCACATGCATGTGTCTACCTTGCAGCTTGTCGGGCAGCTTGTCGGATGAGAAGAGCTACGACGATGCGACTGCGCTTAAGGTTTTCTCGGAGTCTTTTGTACCGTGTAGTGCTCGACGAACCGGGAAAACGATGGCTCGGTCGTGTTGGGCTCGATGCACGAGCGAAGGAGCGCCGTGAGAATTCTACGCCGGTGAGCAAAGAAGGACGCTACTTTTGTACTTGAACGTACGTCGTATTGACGTTTGGGTCGCGCATGTCCCTACGGTAGAGACCACTGAGAAGCGCGCTGGTGTATTCCTAAAGGCATACCCCTTGATCGCTGCTTGAAATCGAGCGTGGAGTTCGTAGATCTTTCGAGGAGGGACTACGAAGACTATGCGAAACCCGGCGCTATGCAGGGGCACGTACGATTGTACTTGGCTTGGAGCTGCTCGACCTCAAAGATGGAGCTCATTGTAGCTATACACGACGCTTCGGCGCTTGGATCGTTTCTGTTGTTTCGGGAAGACGCGCAGTTGCTGCTGGTGCCGCCACGTATATCCGAAGTTTCCCGTACTTCGATAGCCAATAAAATCGCACACAGTACTTCGACGAAGATTCGTGCACAACACCAATCAATCACACCAAGATGATGCTCGCTACACTTCGTCGCCGGGCGTTGCCGCTGACGCGGGCCGGCCGTCATGCTCCGCTGCGACCAGCCATGCGCGCCCAGCGGTTCCAGGCGCCAGCGCGCGAGTTCTCGGTGCTTACAGACCTGTTTGCCCGCCTCCGCAGCTGGTGGCAGCCACCAACCTCGGTACGTCCAACCGACGCGCTCGCCTGCCTCATGTGCGCTCTCTGTGTAGCTTCCAGCGCCCACCGAGCCGAGCAAACGTGTCGTCCTGTCGACAGGCCGCCGCAACGCCAAGACCGTCTGCTTGGTCGATGGCAACAACCTCCAGTACTTTGTGTTTGACCCAACGTGTCCGATGATGCAGTACTACGTCCGACTTCAACTTGCGGCTAACGCACAATTTCTCGGTAGCAACGACGCATACGTTGGCGCGACGGTGCGTTTCCTCCAGCGACTCCGCCACCTCGTTCTCACGCAGCAGCCGGACGGCATCGTCGTTTTCTTCGATACGAGCAAGGTCACGGACCGAAAGAAGGAAAACCCAGCGTACAAGTCGGAGCGCAAGCCCATGGAGCCTCGCCTTCGGCCGCAGTTCAAGCTCACGGTACAGTCAAGAGATCTGGCGCTATTCATTTTGCTTACTCATGTACCTAGACGGCGGCACTGCGAGCGCTCAACCTTCCGATCGCCCGTGTGCCCGGCGTCGAGGCCGACGACCTCATTGCGTCATACGCCAAGGCTTGCGTGGACCAAGGCTACAACGCAGTGATTGTATCAAACGACAATGACTTTCTCCAGCTCGTGCAAAGCTCGACCGTGACGGTCCTCAAGCCTTCGCGCAACCAAGTGCTGCGGGAGAAGGACGTCCGTGCCATGCTCCACGGCGGCAAGCCCTTCTTGCAGCCCGATATTCGTGCGCTCTGCGGCGACCGATGGGGCAAGACGCCCGGTCTTCCTGGCGGCCTCAATAGACGCCAAGCCGTCGACCTTCTCGAAGCCTCGGGTGGTCTCCTTCCGCTGCTGGACAACCTTGAAAATGTATTGGTATGCTTTATTGACTGCCTATCAGCACCAAGGTCGCGTCGTAGGTGGACGACGAGACTCTGCGCCAGCGACTCGCAAGCGCAGATGAGCTCCTCCGGACGTCGTACCGCAATACCAAGCTCGAGAACGACTTGGTGCTGCCGATTGCGCTTAGTGACCTCCACGTTGCGACCAATTTTGACGTGCTCGAGCCGCTGCTCGGCAAAGACGCCGTGCGCGTTGTCAATAGCTCACTGTAATCTACTACAAAATTGCATTGGTGTATCGATATACACCCTTGTGTGTGTTATCGAAGCCAAGATCCAGGGACGAACGAAGAATGCGGAGGCAGCTCGTCGAGCCAGCCGCACCAGGCGGAGGCCTCGTGTTGCTGGCGTCATCTCTGGCGATTCAAAGATGGAGGATGAGCTACGATGCACTGTCGTGGCTTGGTGTGACGATAACGACATGCCGTTTCGCTCATTGCCGGCAAAAAGTTGCGATGTCGAGGATGAGTGCGACGACCGACGACGTCGGTGGAAGTTTAGTCCACTTCAAGAATTCCATTTTGAACAATTTCACATTGCATCGCCTTCTTCTACACTCCCTTTCGCTACTCCAGCACTAGTCGTAGTACGGATACTACTAGTCGTAATATACTTCAAAGCCGCTGTAGCTGCATTTGAAACCCGCTCCATCTCGGTCGGTCGGTTGGCGCCCTTGCCTGCAACTGGCCCGACTCTTCCCCATCGCAATGCATCCAGCGAAAATGGCGCTTCTCCGGCTGTCTTCCTCGGTTCGTTCCGGTGCATTCTCGCATTGTATTGGCCGTTCGAAATCATCTTGCAGCCAATCGCAGCGCGTTCTGCGTACGCGCCCATCTGATTGGGTCTGGTTCGAACTGCATTAGTGCGGCTTCGCATTCGTTCGTAGTAATAAAATAAAATGCTTGTCCATCGTGTCCAAAGTCCAGAGCCCATACAAATATCTCTATTTTTCAAAATTCAAACATCTTTATTTTACTCGCTTGCATACAAACATCCAGTGCTCTTACAGCCTGCGATATTAAATCGTACGACGTTGGCACTACGAAAAGATCGTTCACTTTGCCTTTTGCTCTCATGTGTCCGCTGCGCTACATCCTGCTCCTCGTCTCGATCCTCATCGCGTGCATTGGGCTCTCGCAGGCCGCGCTCGAGTCGGACGACGACTTCTCCTCGAAGAAGAAGAAGAGCGACGATGAGGACGAAGTGGCCGACCGCAAGTCGACCTTCCAGACCGTCGTCGACATGCTCACGGGCCGGTACCTCCTCAACGCCTACTATGGCCGCGCCCTCGCCGCCAACTAAATGTGGCCTCTATTTTATGCCCGACGCTTGGCCGTTGGCGCCCATTTTTGTAAACTATTTGTCGCCCACGTGAAGTTAATTGACCGCGCGATATTTTGTCTCTAAGAACTGATTGCTTATCGCTGCATACCGAGCTGCATCGTAGAGATCAACGTCGCCGCATACGGCGGGTGGTAGTCTGCCGAAGACCGAGGCGCACGGCTCGTCTGAGTTGCCGGCGCCGTGGACGTGATTGTCCCACGCGTCGTTGTTATCAGGTGGCTTGACACAGGTTCGTTGGAAGCACCGTGTCGTGCCAGCCAGGCTCCGTGAGTTGGCTTCGTTGCACGAGACTATGACTGAGACGCGTAGACACAATGGCCGTGCAAAGGCGCTCTTCGTACGTGTTCTCACATCTATTATGGGTTGTACAGGCGTGCTTATGCAGGGCAGTCGCCCGTCGCGCAGGACCGCGTGATTTCGGGCGTCTTGACCGTCGTCGGCGTCACAGCCGTGATCTCTTCGTCCTTGCGCATCTTGCTCTTCTGCGGGTCCGTGAGCTTGACAGCGAACGAGCCCGACTCGTTCTTCTTGCCCTGTACAATGTTGAAGAGCAGCATATCTTCGGCCTCGGTGATGCCCTTGACCATGGCCTGGATCGTCTCGGTGTCGGTCTCGGCGCGGTTCTCGACAAAGTTGGCGCGGATGGCCTTGCGCGCCTCCGTGATGGCGTAGACGTCGCCGACGAAGGCCCTCTCGCTCGCGCGGACAAGGCGGCGGTAGCCCCACAGGGCCTGACTGCGGAGGCTCATGCTTGCAGCAGCGGTAAAAATAACTGGCCCCAGCTTTCAACGTGGGCTCTTGTCCTAATTAGGCTTACTTTCGGACTTCTCGTCGATTCGTGAGTTGGATTCGGCAGTTGCCACCAATGGCTCACTCATCGTCCTCGGGCGGAGGGCTTCTTCCAAGCAGCAACTCTTGCGCTCCGAGGCGTCTTGGCATTCTCTTTGCTGTGTATCATCTTCAAGCGATACGCTGCCGTTGCCGCCTTGACACTCGCCTTGACCAGCCGTGATACTAGTATTGGGGACATGGATGCGCCGCCGGTCGGCCACATCTCCAGACTATCTCATTTTAAACATGGCACATGCCGAACAGTAGTAACAACACAAAGTGAAACGTGTTGATGGTGTATAAGTTGTAGTCGTACAGTCTTAATACCTCCGTGTAATCCGACGAGGTTTTGGGTACTGTGGTTATAATTGTCTTTTAGTAGTACAGGACATTACGACCGCGTCGGGATCGCAATCGGCGGCGTCGCGTCGTCGATCGAGTCGAGACGGTCTTGTTCGTCGACGTACGTCTCGTCGATTTGCTCGGCAATGATGCGCGTCACGACGGCATTGCCCATGATGTTCATGTACGTCGCAAACCGGTCCAAAAGCACGTCCATGGCGACGATCCACACGAAGTTGGCCGGCGCCACGTCGCTCACAACCGAGTTCCACACCGCCGTGACCCAAATGAGGCCGCCGTGCGGGATCGGCGAGACGTTCCACGACGTAATCACGGAAGCAAAGACGATCAGAATGACCTTGCCGATACCGAGCCCAAACGCGTCGGCGCCAACGTCGTCGCTGGCCATTTGCGACTTCATCAAAAACACCGTGCACGCCGCAAGGTAGAAGGCCGCGCCGTCCATGTGAATACCGGTGGCGACCGGTGTCACAAAGCGCACGAGCTGCTGCGAGACTGTCCGGGTGGCATCGATGGCCTGGATGAGCATCGGCAACGCCGCGAGCGACGCCGACGAGGCAAAGCCAAAGTGGAGCGCCTTCTTGATTTGAAACACGTAGGCGTAAAAGCTCCGGCGCGTCGTGAGAAAGCCGATGACTGGCAGCACAAGATAGCAGTGCAGCAACGCGCCAGCAGCAAAGATGGCGGTGAGCGCGCCAATGGCTTGCGCCGCGGCCGAAAAGTTGCCAAAGAATGAGTTTTGACGCACGATGATGAGGTGGAGCGCCTGGCGGTACGCGAGCGTCAGCGCGGCCTCGGCCGGCGACAGAATTGTGTCGGCGGTCGCGTTTGCCGCGGCTTTCGAGAAGGTTTGCACTTTGGGCAATGGGTTCGTGTACGTGGGGTCTTCGGGCAGCACGAACGACGACGCGACGAGGAAGAGGACTGCGATCGGCACAAAGTTGATGACCCACCCAATCATGATGAGGAAGATCGAGTTGAGCTGCCGGAAAAGATCCAAAATCGCGTGGTTCGAGTGCGAGATTTTCGCAAGGACGACCCCGAGCGGCATCGCAAACACCACGACACTCACGAGCGCCGAGTCTTGAACAAACGCGCCGACTAGGTTGTCGGTCACGAGTTCGTTCATGAGCGTAAAGAAGACTTGCTCCGGGCCTTGCGTCGTCGCGTTCACACTCGACGCTTGCTGGTACACGGCATTTGTATCGTTGATTGCGAGCGTCGTCTCCCGCGCCATACACGCCATCTCGCCGCTCGACGTGACACCGACAAAGCCCGTGAGGTTGGTCGATGGGCTCAACGGGCACCCCATGGTCATTGGAATGGACCCGTTGTTGGTCGTACTCCCGGTCATGAGCGACGTCGACTTGGTGCGGTACACGCTTTTAGGAAGAAGCGAAGCGAGGAGGACCCCTTCGATGGCCGCGAGCAGCGACAGCGTGATGAAGAGGAACACCATGCGCGACCCGACCATCTTGCTCTTGCTGAGGCGGAAGAGGTCGGCGATCCCGACCGTCACGTTGACAAAGATAAGCGGCACGACGAGGCATGAGAGCGCGCGGATGAGCATGTCGCCCGGCAGCTTGATCCAGTCGTTCCACATGTTTTTCGTCTCGAGGTTGGCTTGGTACGATGCGATTTCAGTGAGGACGTCGCCCATGGGCATGGCGTCAATGGCGTCCGGCGAGAGGTTCGAGAGGCGCGTCGCTTGGTCGACGCCAAAGGCCAGGACGACACCGAGCACGATCGCAATCACGAGCCCGGGGAGGCCAAAGTAAATCTTCTTGTAGCGCGCGCCTTCGATCGTCCAGAGGTACGCGTAGTACTCGTCGTTGCCTTCATGGGGCTTGCCGTCAAAGCCGTTCTCACTCGAGAGCATGGCCACGTCCCCTTCGAGGTGCGGCACGTCTGGGATCGTCGCCGGCGGGTGGTGCGGGTTGCTGTGGATGCTGCGCATGTGCGGCTCGTTCGAGTGCCCGGACGAGATCGAGTCGGCGCTCGACGGGTGGCGACCGCCGTTCGTGGACGCCGGCGATGCGCGTCCGTGGCTGCTCACACCGGGCGACGCCGTGGCTGTGCGCCGAAAATCAGTGCGCGCCTCGTGGGGCGGCGTCGCCTGGGGACGCGCCGACGCGCGAAAGTCGGTGCGGACTTCGGGGGCGAGCGGCGACGCGGTGGCGCCACGCCGAAAGTCGGTGCGGATCTCGCCGCGGTAGACGGGCGGTCGCGTGTGGGGCTGCGACGAGTTGCTCGACATGGACGCGTCGGCTGCGAAATGCAAAAGTGAACCTAATGAAACAAGACGGTGGCTCGTTCTCCATCTGGCGGTCGCACCCGGCGTCATCTCTACCAGTCGCCATCGCATACAACGGCAAATGCGAGAGAGGAGAGTGTAGTAGGAAGATGGGAGTGTACTTGCATGGGCGATGCTGTCACACACAAGATACCCAATTGAACGTGTTGAGAGGAAATTGTGATTTGGTGTGTAGAGGCGCTCGACCAGTGCTGTTGGACGTGCTGCTGTGAGCTATTGCGGCTACTTTGCCGTGCGTTGAATGGCAAGTGCAACAGTGGCGCGGATATGAGAGTCGCAGGAGAGAGGCACGGTCAGTGGGTTCCTCAACCGGCATCCGTGACTTGCAGAATGCATGCACTGGGTCAGTTGAAGTGCCGCTACCGGTAGCCGTCTCTTGTCCTTCTTCATTTTGGCCAACCAGGCGTCATGAAGACTTTCTCTAATCTCTGATCTCATGTCGCTTTGGTCGAGGAAGCCCTCGCTTTTCAAGCTGCACGATGCATCCGTCTTCGCTTGATTCTTCTTGGAGGTCTCGAGCTGAGGGAAACGGAGGGATACCATTGATTGCCGAGAGAGTCTTGGTCATGAGAGTGGAGGAGAGTGCAACAGCACCAGGTGTCACCCATGGTTGTCACCTCAGACTGTGGCAGGTCCCTCAACTCTATAGCTTCTTACTCACAATGATGGAAGTAGGCGTGCTTTGAACACGTCAATTCAGCACAATTCCCTATAAACATTAATGAGATATCGCAACAAGGGAGCATCACTTGTCGTCACAGGCGTGTGTCACTGCGCAGGGTTTGGCAGGTGCATCCATTCTGTCGGACGACACGCATGAAGCCATGACGACTTCGTTCTTTGCACTGAGGCATTGCACGTGTCGAGTACAAAAACATTATATGGAGCACACTGCTCACCAACAGGCGGTCTCAAGGGTCGACTTGATGTCTATACGCTTGCCGAGCCAATTCGCCGTAATCTTCCCAGTAAGAAAGGCATCATCATGTGACAGACACCCGCAGTGCTCGAAAGAATAGTACGGACAACAAGTCCATAGGCCAGCGGATCGTGGCGTTGCGTAACGCGGCAACCATGACAATCCCAACGCAGTGGCGACGCGTACCTCTACACCGCGGGCGCTGCCATCCACTCGTTGCAACGCGGGATCGTTTCCAGCTGGAATACGTCGCTCCGTGCAGCGACATCAACTCTCCCGACCGCCAAAGATATATACTGTAGACACCTTGTCTTGGTTGCATTGAACCTGTAGACGGCATAACTGGAGGGTCCTACGCTGATGTGGTTGCGAGTCAACTTCCACGACCGGTTGATACTATGGGCAGCCAACAACTTCATGGGAAAGGGGCTTTGACGACGCTGCAGGAAATATGGTGTTTGGGGCAGACAGACTGTAAAGATATTCTATTCTACTAGTATTAGTTTAGTTGCACCATGGCCTGAAGCGTCTGCATACTCTGTTTAAAAAACTGAAGCTGCTTGAAGTACCGGCGAACACCGTTGCCAGCCCGGCGCGCCCGCTCGCGGGGATCCATGGCCATAATGTCTTCAATGGCTTCGCAAATGGCGCGAATCGGCACCTCAAAGACGATGTTTTGGCCCATCGTGGCCTTGTCTGCCCACGGCGTGATGCCGTGGATAAGGACACCCGAGTCGTCGTCGACGAACTCGTCCATGGGCGGCGCATCGGTGGTCACGACGAGGGCGCCGGCCGCTCGTGCTTGGTTGATGTAATGGCCGAATCTATACACGCCATGAACTCGGAATGCATTGTAGGCGATGCGACGTACCCTTCCATCGCGCTGGGGCACACAATGATGGTCGCGTCGTGCAGAATGCTTGCAAACCCCATCGACGAGACATATTGTCCAAAGTGAAAGTCGACGTTCGGCGGCGGGCTGCCGTGCCAAAGGTCGTTGAACGTGCCGTTGGACCAATCGTCGCTCGAGTACTGATGCAGCACCGGGAACTCGGGGTGGTCTTTCCAGCAGTTGAGCATTCGCCCCGCGTTCTTGAACGGGCTCTTGCCGTTGGCGTGGACGACGCTGAGCTGCCCAAAGTCCTTGGGCGTCATGTGCGTGGTCGCGTTGCGCATCAAGACCGTCGCGTCGCTCGTCGTGTGCTGGGTATAGAGCACCTTGGCGCCGCGCGGGTTGTTGTTGTCTTGGTTGTACCTACAGAACCATAGATCGCACCTTGTGCGAGACAAAGAATATATTGCGCACCACGCCCAGATGCGGTTGAACGCGTCGCGCGACTTGGCCAAGACAATGTCAACACGGTGGTAGTGCGCCGGCGTCAACTCGCCCATCTCGACGTTGGGCATGAGCACGATCTTCTTGGTCGACGGAAAGAACGGCATCTCATGGACGCCTTCCCAATAGTGGTTCATAAAGAGAATTGCCGAGCGCGGGCAGAGCTCAAAGTACGTGGATCCTGCACCGTTCTCATCGATGAACGTGGTTTCAAGGACCCATTTCGGAATCGCGCGCGACTGCAGATGCAGCGTGTACACCATGGCGTCTTCGCAATACCCGTGGTCTCGGACCCCCGTGTTGAGGTAAATATCGACCGCAGGGCACTTGCGCAGCTCGGCCAAGATCGCGCTGTGCGGACTGTCGCGCCGAAGTAAGTCGCGCGCACTGCGCGCGTGCCATGGAATGAGCACGTCGTCTTCTTTGCGGCAATAAACGTTCAACTCGATCAAACGCAAGAGCTCGGCGTCGTGCGCGGCGTGGAGCGCGTCAATGTCGGCGGCGGCAAGGATTCCGTGGGGCGCAACGCCCGATCGGACGTAGGTCGCGTGGACTGTCTGCGCAGTCCATGATACGCCCCTCGCCTCGAGCAGCAAGTGCACCAGCGTGATGACTGCCAGCGCCAGAAAAGCCCACTTGGTCCATGCGTCGCTTGTCGCCATCTCGATCGTCCCGTTGGACAGTGTTTTTCAAAATGTAAATTTCTTGCCTCTTTTTAGCAAAGGGACACCTCAATGTCGTATTCGCGTCCTCGTCTCTATCTGCATTTCGTGGTGGATCCCATTGATTATACTACTACGCACCCACTGATTATACCATGTCGTACCCATTGATTAGACCTGAGCGAGTAGCCGTGAGAACTGTACAAATATGATAGTCGTCTTGCGTTGTATTGATTGAAACTGGAGTTGAAGCCAAAAGATCGTCCCAAGCCGTTGCTGGACGCGCGCTACCGACGAGTCAATAGAGGAGGAAGTTATTTGGTGAGTTAATTGTTGTGGCGGTTGGCATCGTGGTCTCAATGTATCACGCGACCGGACATATGTTTTTACCAATGAACGAGCGGGCGCAAAGGCGCGGTACCAAGGATTAAGTCAAGTAGCTCGATCGGGCAAGCTTTGTCTCCACGGCGTTGACACCGTTGCTACTGGTATAATAGTGTTGCGCCCCACGCACGTTCGTCAACCAATAAGTTATTCACACAGTTAATCAACACACGGCGACTTTGGTTATGGTCGATGTACGAGGACCGGCGTGCTGTCGTCGTCGGCATTCGTGTGCCCGAGACGGTCTTGCTCGTCGACGTACGTCTCGTCAATCTGCTCGGCAATGATGCGCGTGACGACCGCGTTCGAAAGAATGTTCATGTACGTCGCAAACCGGTCTAAAAGCACGTCCATGGCGACGATCCACACAAAGTTGGCGGGCGGTACATCGCTCACGACAGCATTCCAGACCGCCATGAGACCGAGAAGACCGGCGTGCGGCACGGGCGAGACACTCCAAGAAGTAATAATGGATGTGAGCGTGATCATGACGGCCTTTCCGAGTGTCAAGTCGACCAGCGTCGGCTGCGACTGCACGAGAAAGACCGAGCCCGCCGCGAGGTAGAACGCCGCGCCGTCCATGTGAATACCGGTGGCGACGGGCACGACGAAGCGCGTGAGTTGCTGGGACACATTTCGCGTCCTGTCAATCGCTTGGATGAGCATCGGGAGGGCGGCGAGGGAGCAGCTCGAGCCAAACCCAAAGTTGAGCGGCTTCTTGAGCTGCAAAATGTACGGGATCGGGTTGCGGCGTGTCGAGAGGAACGTAAGGAGCGGCAAGAAGGCGTAGCAGTGCACGGCCGTGCCTGTTGCAAAGACGGCGACGAGCGTTCCGATCGCACGGGCGGCGGCGCCAAAGTTGTCAAAGAAGGAATTTTGACGCACAATGGCCATCTTGAGGAGACTTCGAAGGGTCGCGAGCGTATTCGCATCGAGCGCAATCGTCGTATCACCCCACGCCGCCGCAGGGATCGACGGGAGCTTGGTCGGGAACGTCGGGTCGTCAGGGAGGATGAAGGACGACGCGACGAGAAAAATGATCGCGACCGGCACAAAGTTGATGACCCAGCCGACAAGAATCAGAAAGATGGCGTTGAGCTGCCGGAAGAAATCCAAAATCGGGTTGGTCCCTTGCCGGCGCGACGCAAGGGCGACACCGATTGGGATTGAGAGGACCACGACGCTGAGGAGCGCGCTTTCTTGTACGAACGCGCCGACAAGGTTGTCGGTAATGAGCTCGTCGGCGAGGTCAAATACCACTTGGCTCGCCGATTTGTGCACGCCGTGCGGCGACGTCGACGCCCGCTGATAGACGCTGTTGACGTCGACAAGCTTGAGATAACTCTCGCGCGGAAGGCACGCCATGGTTCCGTCACTGTCGACCCCGAGGTAGTTGGTCGCGTTCACGCTCGGGTCGTTGTTGCACGCGAGCCGCGCCGGGATCGCAGTGCCGTTCCGGCCGTTGGCGCCACCGACAAAGGCGGTCGACTCGACGCGGAAGACACTGCCGGGCACGATGGATGCCAATGAGACACCGAGAATCGCCGACAAAATTGACGTAATGAGGAAGAGCCACACCATGCGCCAGCCGACCAGCGTCGCCTTGTGCAAGGCGACAAGGTCTGCGATCCCGACAGTCACGTTCACAAAGACGAGCGGCACCACAAGGCACGAGAGCGCGCGAATGAGGAGGTCCCCGGGCAGCTTGATCCAGTCGTACCACATCTTCTTCGTCGCCAAGTGGTCGACAACGGCCTGCAGCTGCTTGAAAACGTCATGGGGCGCCATCTCGTCAACATCGTCCACCGAGATTGTCGCCACGTGCACGGCTTGGTCAACGACGAAGGCGAGCACGACACCGAGTAAAATTGCCAGGAGAAGACCCGTGATGCCAAAGTAGAGGCGCTTGAGACGCGACCCGTCGGTGGTCCAAAGGTGTGTGTAGTAGTCGTCGTGGAGCTCGAGCGGCTTGGTCTCGGACTCGCGCTCGTCCGAGAGCATTGCAACATCCGTGTCGGGCAGACCGAGCGGGCGGTATGGTGCCTCCGTGGTTTGGTGCCCGCTCGAGTGCGAGTCGGCCGTCGACGGATGGCGCGAATGGACCGACGACGACGGGGACGGCCCTGTGCCCCGGCTCCGAGGTGACGCGGTCGCGTTGACGTGACGCCGAAAATCGGTCCGGAGCTCGCCGGCAAACGCGGGTCGGCGCTGGGGCGTCGATTGGCTACTCATTGCTCTGGCTCGGAGAATACAAAAGTGACCTCGTGTACTAACATTACGCAGGGCATGGTTTGATTTGGTGATTGTTCGCTCTCCATCTGGGTAGAATGGCCACGTTGCACATGCGAGCGCAACTGTAGCAAGTCCCACCGTGTCCAGTGCGGAAGCCCCACGACGTTGCCAGAAGGCGCTAGGTAGACGCACAAGCAGTCGCTGGCGCATTACGCTTGGCAACACACGTGGCGACTCTCCTCATGCTCTCGCGCAATAGCTCTCTTTCCAGTGTGTGTGAATATGATGCAATATGCAAGCTGTACCGTGCATATGTGAAGTTGCTGTTGGTAGTAGACCAGCTGGTTCCGTACTCCATATGTTTTTACGGCGTGACCACAAGGCACTGCGCCCAGCTCCTTCGTTGCCCGTTCCTCCGCCCGCCAGAGTCACTCCGCCAGTTGTGATTTACCGTTCTGCTGGCCGTACAAGGAAGAAACAAGATGAAAACGGCATATGCCGGAAATTCGTGCCTACCGGAAATTAGGTTGTCGGACGACCCTAGAAATAGGACCCTTAATCCGTAAAATTCGAAAGACTCATTTCAACCGTTCTGCTGGCCGTCGAACCATACATTCCACCACCAGCCGGTGCTCGCCTATGAAACTAACCCTGAGCTTGCAACGGTACTGGAATCGGACTTTGACACTTCGTCCAACAAGCTGCTAAAAATCTAGCGCTCAAGATCGCACTTTGGATTGTGAATCGACAAGCAAAATCACAGGCAAAGTGACAAGAGAGGGGTGTATTCCTGCACTCCGATCACACTTCGTAGAGCTTTCGGCAGCAGGATGAACCAGATGGACACGCCAAATGAAGGTGTGCAGGCCGTAGAAAGGTCCTACGAGGGGTAGGTTTGAAGTATATACAACTGCTAGCTGTGCGCTTGGATCAGGATCGGTACCCATACTCTGTTCTTGTGTGACGGCAGTGGTGTCGCTCGTCACTTTTGCGCTGAGCGATTCGGGTTGTGACCAAGACGCCAAGTGATGTCTTGCGTGGTGTTTGTCGAGTGTCCTTCAGAGCAGTCACTGGCGGGCGCCTGCCATCAAGGTGCTTGTGGCTGCCACTCCAACCTTTCCCTATTAACGGACGACTGGGCTACAACGCAAGACAATAATTTGGTGTGCATTTTCATAACGAGTACTAGTAGCAAATACTACAACAAGAAGCACGCATGTACACTCTGCAGTGTCGCCGATACGAATAGCGTTCAACATACTTATTGAAGAAAGGCGTCGGTGCCACCAGAGCCACGGTCGAGCTCGTCAATGTACGTTTCGTCGACTTGTTCGGCAATGATGCGCGTCACGACGGCGTTCGAGAGGATGTTGACAACGGTCGAGAACCGATCGAGAAGAACGTCCATCGCCACCACCCACACAAAGCCGACCGGAAGGTTGATTGTCGTCGGCAGGTCCGGCGTCACCGCCTGCCACACCGCGTTGAGAGCAAGGAGGCCGCCGTGCGGGATCGGCGCGCAGCTCCACGCGTTGATGACGCACGTGAAGAAGACCATGGCCACGCGGGACGGCGAGAGCGCAAAGTTCGGGTCGTCGGTCGCGGTTTGTGCCTTGAGTAAAAACACTGTGCACGCCGAGAGGTAAAACGCCGCGCCGTCGAGGTGGACGCCCGTGCCGATCGGAATCACAAACCGCGTCAGCTGCTGCGAGACGCTGCGGGTCGAGTCGATCGCTTGGATCGTCATCGGGAGCGCCGCGAGCGACGAGGCCGAGCCAAAGCCAAAGTTGAGCGCCTTGTTGAGGCGGAAGATGTACGAGTACGGGTTGCGTCTTGTCGTAAGGAACGTTAAGAGCGGCAAGAAGACAAGGGCGTGGAAGGCGAGACCGGCAATGAAGATGGCCGTGAGCGTCCCGACCGCGTGGAAGGCGACGCCAAAGTTGGAAAAGAACGAATTCGTGCGCGTGATCGCCATCGGCAGCGCCGCGCGCCACGTCGCCACTTGGTCGATCGTGATGTTGGCGTGCTTCCATGCGCCGACGTCGTACGCCGGGTCGTCGGGCAGCACAAACGACGACGCGACAAGAAAAATGATGGCCACCGGCACAAAGTTGATGACCCACCCAATCATGATGAGGAAGATCGAGTTGAGCTGTCGAAAGAGGTCCAAGATTGGGTTGTTGACGTCGGCGAATTTCCCGAGCGCGATACCGAGCGGCATGGCAAACATGACGAGGCTCACGATCGCGTTCTCTTGCGCGAACGCGCCCATGATGTTGTCGGTCACGAGCAGATCGAGCAGGTTGAACACCACGTCGGCCGGCGTCGTGGTTGCATTCGGCAGCAATTTCGTGCGGGCAAACGTAAAATTGACATCGACGAGGTTGAGCGACTCGCGCGGCGCGGACGGGAGGCACGTCATGAGCGCTGAGCCGTTCCGGACACCGAGGAACCCGCCGCCGTTCGGACAGCTCATCGCGACGGGGACATCGAGTTGCTTGGGAATCTTGAGCGACACGTCGGTGGTGCGAAAGATGCTCGATGGAATGAACGCGGCAAAGAAGAGTCCTTCGCCGGCCGCGACCATGGTCGTGAGGAGGAAGAAGAACACCATGCGCCAGCCGACGACCGAGGACTTGTGCAAGGCGCAAATGTCGGCGATGCCAACGGTCACGTTGACAAAGATGAGCGGCACGACAAGACACGACATGGCGCGGATGAGGAGGTCGCCTGGCAGCTGGATCCACGACGTCCACGTGTGCTTGAGCGTAAACGTGGCAAGCACGTCCTGTATTATCGCAATGACAGCGTCGTCCGAGAGGTTCTCGACCGACTGCGGGTAATCGCCGCGAGTGAGGAATGACACGAGGTACCCGAGGAGCACGCCGAGCACAATGGCGAGCAGGAGGCCATAGACGCCAAAGTAAATCTTCTTGTAGCGCGCGCCTTCGATCGTCCAGAGGTATGCGTAATACTCGTCGGTCGTCTCGTGCGGCTTGGCCCGGAACTGCTGCGGCGCCTCCGAGAGAATCACGACATCAGGCTCGTCCAAGCGCCGTGGGACGCCGGGTGGTGCCACGAACGAGCTTGCCGCCGTGTGCGTCGAGGTGTTGAAGAGGCTCGTGGCGTCGTTGCCGCAGACGTACCCGTCGGAGGTCGGCGGCGCGCGCCGAAAGTCGGTGCGGACCTCGGCGGACGGCGGGCGGAACGGTTGCATGCCGGCGGTGGTTTGCTTGTGACGCCCGACGGCATACAAATTTCGAGATGCATTTCGTGTCTAAGAGCGCCAGACTCGTAACTGACCAATCAGAAACATGACCAGCATGCTTTTTGGCCAATCCGAGGGCGGTAAACGCAGCGTGGGATCGCATCCCGGTGTAATGGGCAGCCTGTCGCGGGCGAACGATCTGATCGGCGTGCGACGGTAAAGCGTGATCTTGGTAATCGTGGCGGTCGCAAGCCTTCCTCTAGTACTGCCCAGCTAATATCTCAAGCTCTACGTCGCTTCAGCTATAATATACGTACCAGCTAATATCTCAAGCTCCTCATCCCTTGAGCTATAATATACGTACTTGTCCAGATTTGCAGAAGACCAAGAGCGACGGTCGACGAACAACGCGGATGCACTCAGGTCTTCGAATCGAACACAATGGCTTGCTGGTGTTGACGTCCAAGTGGACATGGATTGGCTCGCTGGGAAACGCCCGGCGAGCGATTGGCTCTGCCAAGGGGCGCGGAATTCGAAGCTACTCGTGGCGCCAAACCACCCGATCGCCAGTTCAACTTTCGCTGCACCACCGACAGCCATGGCCCGCGGCCGCCCGTACGAAACGATCGCGCTAGGCGAAGACACGGGGCTCACGGCGACGGGCCGGTCGAACCTCGCCGCGCTCAGTCGCCACCGGTGGTTCCTTCTCGCACTAACAGGCGTCAGCGCACTCTTTTACGCGGGCGTCGAGCTCCTCCCGGCGTGGGACGTGCCCATCGCGTCGACGACAACGCTCAACCACCGAGCGACTGTTGTGCCCGAGAAGAAATTCGTGCCCCGCATCGATGACTCGGACGAAGTCGACACGTTCTGCGGCATCGTGGGCCAAGAATCCGGCTACATTGCGCTCCCCAACAAGAAGGACGACCACTACTTTTACTGGTTCTTCGAGTCGCGGCGCAACCCGGAGAAGGACCCACTCATTCTCTGGCTCACGGGCGGCCCCGGCTGCTCGAGCATGCTTGCGCTCCTCTACGAGAACGGGCCCTGCGTCGTGACGAAAGATCTCAAGACGCAGCTCAACCCGCTCTCGTGGAACAACATTGCCAACGTCATTTGGCTCGACCAGCCGACCGGCGTCGGCTTCTCGTACGGCGACAAGGACGACTACGACATGAACGAAAACCAAGTCGGCGAGAACATTTGGTTCTTTCTCCAGGGCTGGCTCGCGGCCAACCCGCGCTTCCATGGCCGCGACTTTTACATCTTCGGCGAGTCGTACGGCGGTCACTTTGTTCCAGCGGCCGCCCACGCCATCTTTACGCGCAACCCGAGCGTCCATGACGACGAACAAGTGATTGCCCTCCAGGGCATTGCGATTGGAAACGGTCTCACCGACCCTATTGAGCAGGTACCTTTTTTTTGTACCGACAAACGAATGACGCTTGGACTAGTATGCGCACGCCGCCGATATGACTGAGAATGCGTACAACCTCACGCTTGTCTCGCCCGAGTTTGAAGCGTCCATGAAGGCTCAAGTGCCAGCTTGTGTCGAGATGGTCACGCAGTGCCAAACTGACGATTCGGTGTGTGCGGATGCCCAAGCGTTCTGCCACGAGGCGCTCGTGAACCCGCTCTTCTTGACGACCGGGCGCAACCCATACGACATCCGCAAGCCGTGCGCCGGCGGCCAATCCATCGGATGCTACGACTTTAGCCACATTGAGGCGTTTCTCAACTCACCGGGGATCATGGACGTCCTTGGCGTCGACACGGACAAGGTGGCGCAGTGGCAGGAGTGCAACTTTGAGATCAACGCGCAGTTTGGCAACGACTGGATGAAGGTCTATTCGCCGTACGTGCCCCCGATGCTGGACGCTGGCATCCGCGTCATGGTCTACGCCGGCGACGCCGACCTCATGTGCAACTGGCAAGGCAACGAAGCGTGGACCAAGCACTTGCCCTGGTCGGGCCATGCGGCGTTCAACGCGGCGGCCAACCGTCCGATGCTCTTTCAGGACAAACCGGTCGGCGAAGTCCGGTCGGCGAAAGGACTCACGTTCCTCCGCGTCTACGAAGCCGGGCACATGGTGCCGCTCGACCAACCCGAAGTGTCGCTTGCGATGGTCGACACTTTTCTCCGCAACGAAGCGTTCTGATTCTAACACGAAATATGAAGAATATTGTATCTGGCCAAGGACGAAATTCCGCCTACGAGCGTTGACCGCCGACGACATCCCTAAACCTACCAATGCCAATGCAAACCTTAACCCATTTATTCCTTCAACCGATGTAAGGCTCAGTCTACGGATCCAAGTTGACACTGTCGATGCAGGAGCAGATTGAGTGATAGAAATCATCGTGATACACACATATTGTACACTGCTAGTGTAAAAATTCCTTGTTATCGCTCACGAGGTGACCGACGACGGCGGCTTGACGAGCGTCTTGGCGTCGATCGAGAAGGCGCCAAAGCCTTGCGAGATGCGGCGCAAATAGCACTGCAAGAGAGCTTCGACATCACGCATGACGAGTTCGCAAACGACGTCGTCCAAGAACGTGGCTACACACGACACTCTCAAGCTTTGTTGGGCGTGCACTGTATGTACCGATGATGGCAATGGACTCGAGCCACGGCGAGTTTTGCAGCGCAGCTGCTACGTCCTGGTGTCGGCCGAGGTCCAAGGTCGCGGCCACGGGGTACGGCGGATCGAGCCACACACCTAACCATCCCATACATCGATCCCATGTAAGGACACCTTTTGCATACCCAGAAACTGCACTTGGATAAAGACACTTTCAATCCACTGGCTGTATCGGCTAAGGGTTTCCTTGGAGCTGCGAACATCGTCTCCATCAGACGACCAAGAAACGGAGTCAGAAGAGTGTACGTGGTTTCGAGCATCGCAGCGTTTGCACGCTCGACGACCGCGACGGCTTGTTTCTTCACCATGCGGCCAAAGCCAAACGCGATACTTGTCATCTTGGTGATCGCACTGCTGCCCCCAAGCGCGTTCGCCACCTCCTTCTCCATCTACACGCTGCGTCACAATGGATGCAGTAGAATATGGGACGCAACCTTGGCCGGCTCGGAGCTACTCGCGGGCGGCTCTTGCGCAAGGTGTGGAAACGGTCGAAGGAGCTCGGCGCGCTGGTCGTGCACGAGCTGGACCATGTTTTTGAGCGTATGCTCAAAGACCGTCTTGTTGGCTGTCGTGACGGGTGGCGACAGCGCCTATAAGCGTGGGCTATTAGCATGAATTGCCCATGCATTGCAGAGTACTTCGAGGACTCGAAGCTCTTTGGAGAGGATTTCCAGCAACCGCATCTTGTGGTCGACACCGGCAAGGCGCACGCGATCCATGAGCCTGCGTCATCGAGGCTTTTGCAAGGACTTCACGTGGCGAGCGCGTACCAGATCTCGCGCGGTGCATACAGCTGCCGCGTCAAAAAGCACCCTGACGATATGCTCGCTTGCACGAGCTTCATGACGCCAAAGACGCGTAGCGGACCGGTCGGTGGCGCCTCGTACGTAGTCTACTTCTGCATGATGACAAAGTCACATATCACGCGCCACGCACCGCATCCAGCGTGCTGTACTTGTCGAGGAGCTCGGCCGAAAGGTTGAGCTTGTGTGGGCCATGGCTCCGCGGCGACTTCCTACGAGGGGCACAATGACTCATGTGGCCTTTCGCCACAGCTGTCGCGCGCCTACAGCTCCAGGGCCTCTTCGTCCTAAAGGGCCATGAGAAGCGTCACCGCCGGCAATAGCGTACCTCAGCCAGCGTCAGCTGCTCCAGCGCCGGGCCCACGACTTCCTCCATCCTTCTCGGATCGCAGCTCGAAGAATTGACCAAAACGGCTGTGGCATTCCATTATCCGGACAGTACGGTAAATCACCTGGCAGGCGAAGATCGGACGTGATGCGACGATGGCGAGCGACGGTCCTCGCCTTGCTTCTCAGCGCGCTGGCGATGGCCACTCTGGCAGCTGCCGCCAACGACGCCGACTTCATCTTTGACGACGCTGACGATGGCCATGACGACGATCTCCCGGCGGTGCGAGGCGGCTTGAACCAACGCAGTGACGACGAGGTGCTGTAGGTGGCATGCGTCGTCGACGAGGCTGCCGGCGTCTGCTTGATCCCGTCCGTGCACACGCGCGGCCTCGTTACAACGACTCCGAGCGTCGCATCGATTCTGACGGTGCGCAGGCGTCGATACATCCAGGATGTGATGCTGGCCTGTAGCATGCCCAAGCTTACGCGGGCGACGTCGACACCAAGCGCTTCGCCGGCGAAACCCTTGGCTACGTCACACCATGGAACAACCACGGCTACGACATGGCCAAGACCTTTCGCCGCAAATTTACCTACATTGCGCCCGTGTGGTACCAGGTACGCATGATGGATCGAACCAACGACTTTGCGTCATCATTCGTGGCAGATCCGCCACGACGCCGCGAGAACGCCGGTACTCACCGGCGGCCACGACGCCGATGCAAACTGGATCGACGCTGTCCGTGGTCACGACGGGCTCGGTCCCCAAATTGTACCACGCTTCATGTTTGAAATGCCGTCGCTCAGCGCTGCCGAGGCGTCGCAGGTCCTCTCGCTTCTGCTGCGCGAGGTGGAGACGCACCACTTTGACGGCCTCACGCTCGAGGTATCCTCATGCGCAAAGAAGATCTCTACCGACAATGTCCTTCCTTCGCAGGTTCCCATCGTGGACGTGACGGTGCCGTTCATCAAGGCGCTCGGCAAAGCCCTGGCGAAAGCCAAGCGCCTGCTATTGCTCGTCTTGCCCACGAGCCAGCGCAACGTAGGCGGAAACACTCTACCTGTGCTCATATAGACGGCATGGTGTAGGGCCAGCTGTCGGTGGACGCGCGCCACTTGCAAGCGTAAGCCTTTGCGATATGTGCTGCATTTGACAAGGTGACTCTAGGGTCCTTCCGTACGTGCACCGCATCTCGGTCAACGCGTACGACTACTCGTCCATGGGCCCCAACGCGCCGCTCCCGTGGTTGCAAGCGACGCTGCAGCAGCTCACGCCGCCGCATAAACTTCTCATGGGTCTGGCCTTTTACGGCTATGACACCAATGGTACACATACCATCGCTCGCTTCATGGTGGTGACGCGCCTGCTACGCTAGAGGCTGTGATTGCATCGACATACTTGACGCTGTTGCAAACCCATACCCCCGACGTGCAGTGGGATGCCGTCGCCCATGTACGTGCTTTTAGAGAAGCCATCGACACGACGTCGTCTCGTGTGGGTAGGAATGCAAATTCATCTATGCGGCCGGTCGACGCCACGTGTACTACCCGTGTTTGCAGTCGATCGACGACCGGCTCGCGCTCTACGCCAAGGCCCACGTCGGCGCCGCCATCTGGGAGATTGGGCAAGGGCTCGACTACTTTTACGATTTGCTTTGAGCAGCAACGGCCGCCGACCGAGAATAGCACCCGATGCCTCTCTTCTCAAGATAGTTCTTTGCCGTCCTTTCTATTTCTACTTTCTTGATTGAGTCGGCAAGTTGCAACGCTTGAAGGATGGACCAAGCAGCGGTGCCGGTGTACCGATCCCGGCGCGTGATGATACCAGTGGTTGCGTTTGTCGTCGGCGCGATCGCGACCATTGTGGTCGTCTCGACAACGACCGGCGTCTTTGACTCGCACGCGTCGGCGCCGGTGCAAGATACGTCGAGTCGAACCGAAGCCCCGTCGTCGTTCACGGCCATCGGTGGCAACACGACCACCTTTGACGTGACGACAACGACGCCAAATGCAACAGCAAAATCCATTGGGGACGCCTCCAACCTCGGTGCAACGTCGACGCCGGTCGATCCGAATGCACCGACGACGTCGAATCAGAACACGGGACCCAACATGACGACGAGCGAGCTTGCAAGCGGCGGTGACTCGATGGGGGCGAGTGAATCGTCGTCGGGGGATGGCAGCGAACGCTGGGACAGCAGCGCGTCGTCATCTTCCGCAGCGTTCGACTCGGACGACATCGAGCCACCGGCAGGGTCCGAGAGCAACACGACGCTTTCCGCGTCGGTGCATACGAACGATGGCAACGCCGCGGCGGTCCAGGGAAAACTCATCCAAGCCAAGCTATCCCAGCGCTTGCACCAACTTCGCGCCCAGCAAAAACAGCTCCAGCGCCAGATCCAGTTGGTACAGAGGCGTAAGCAGTCGCACCAACGCACGTCGACCAAGCCGACGCGCTTTCAGAGCACCATGTCGGGCGGCGTCTCGGTCAACCCGACGAAGCAGGATTTACCGACGTCGGTCTCGGGTCTCCACTCGAGCATTGCGAGCACGACGGCGTACAACCAGCAACTCGAGGCGCAGTTGGTGGCACTCGCCGCCAGCCGTTCAAACCCAAAGTGACACTGTGATGTTGATATTGATTTCGTACATTTTTCGCTTACAATAAACGTTCAAACGACACTTCACGAATGTGGAACGGCGTTGTTGGCTCCTTGACATCGGTAAAACCAAATTTTCTATCCAAAAATGTTGAAAATGTCGGGTTCAAACTGGTTGACCCTTTGGCCATATCGTCGAGGTGCGCTTGGAGACGACTGCTGGTCTTGTCGTCTGTGTCACCGCCAATGTCGATACGGGCACGGGGTGCGGTAAACGCTGGCCACATGCGTAGAACTACGCTTTTAAAGCGGTCGTGGCGCTCAGCGAGCGTCTAACACCGCTCAATTCGTAAAATTACGGTACCACATGGGTGTACCTTGAACATGCCCGGGCGCAATTGCTCGGCAGCAACCGCGCGGAAGGCCTCGTACACATCGGCATCGTCCAAGATGCGAGGAAAAAGCTTGAGAGCGGGCTCACACGTGTAGACGTGCGACGGCGACTCGAGCGTCGAGAGGACCGTCTTCATGAGGCTCATGTAATCCTGGATGATGGACACGGCCGAGTACGGGGCAATGATGGTCGACGGCAGCTGCGCAATTTGCAGTTTTTCCTACAATTTACGGTTCGGGTTGGCGCCTTTTGGGGCATGGGATGGTACAGGGTAGGGTAATTTGGGAATCTGGAGGCTTTTGACGTGGAGCTGGGGTGGGCTATAGGCCGTGAGTGCCTTCTTGAGCGCCCGCCACCCGCTGCGCCGTCGCGAAATCTCGTCCTAGATGGCACGCTGTAAAATACACAAACATGAAGAAATATATCGAAAATATGCGGTACCTCGTCAAGCTCGACCGGGTTAAGGATCGAACCGCCGTACAATGGTACGTCAAAGCGAACAACATCTTGGCTGCCCGGCGCGAGGAGTTGAGCGACGGGAATTTTCGCCCAGCAACACACCATTTCGATAGGAACCAACGCGTGGGCCGGGGGTGGTGCCTACACCACCGTGTGCGAATGCTTCCCAACGTGGTCCAGCACCTTGTACTTTGCTTTGGTCGCGGCTTGGTGCATTTCGTGGGCAGTCTCGCTCTTGAGCTCGAGAACAAACTCAATAAAGAGGTAAAGGTCGTCGGCCGGCGTATTCGTGCGCACCTGCGTATAACGATAGGTCACCAAAACCAATAAGAATGGATAAGGGGAGGTACGATAAACTTGTAGTCGTCGGCTTTGGTTGCGGCGCGGGAAAAGTACCACACGTCTTCCTCTTTTTTCGACCACGCGACGGAAATTTCGTGGATGTTGCCGACGATTTGACCCTCGAGACGCCGGACGCCGTGGGCTGTCGTAGCACTTGTGGCGTCGGCCATGTCAAAGAAGCAGACGCGCACTTTTCGCCCCACGACGTCGTGTTCGCGTTTGTCGTACGGCGCCGGCACGCCTTTTGCGAGCTTGAGCGACACGATCGCTTGCTTTTGCAGCGCTTCGGATGCTTCGACGCCTGCCCACGCCTCCTACAAGTCGTTTCTAAATTAGTTCATTCATTGCCCTAACCTGCAGTGTTTGCGTTGGTACGAGCGCCAGGTTGCCGTGCTGTGCCATGTTGTACACCGTCTATCAATCTATCAGCTTGACATATTGCTATGGGAGCTAAACGCACTTCGGGGGGCGGGAACGACAGCACATACTCCATCGAGTGTTTCTGAACACGGCGCGCCGTGCTCGTCACCGCGTGTCGAAAGTTGGTCGGGACACCAAGGAGCGCGAGCAGGTGAGCTTCGGGGTCCCGCGGCGCGCCACGTGCAATTTTTTTCATGCCCGAAATGGCGTCGCTACAGAGGTGCGCCAAGTGCTGCGTCGACGCCGAGCCGCCCGAGAGCTGCTCGACGAGCAGCATAAACGCGCTAAACTCCTCAATGTCGATGCGACCGTCGTTGGACGTGTCGATCTCGTCGACGACCGCGTCAAACTCGTCTGGTGTGAGTGGAATCTGAAGTTCGTGCACAAGCGCGTGGTAAAATTCGGCCGTGTCAAGCACGCGGTTGCGGTCCGCGTCGATTTGATCAAAGATCGCGCGCACTTCGAGCTCGGTCTTGGCGCGAAACACCACGCGCTGCTCGTACAGACGTGTTTTCATCATGAGGTAGAACTCGTCAAACTCGATCTGCCCGCTCGCGTCCAAGTCCACGGCGCGCATGATGTTGCCAAGCTCATCGACTGTCACGTCGTCGCCGACTGCGCGGAGAATATGCCCGAGCTCGTCCTTGTCTAGAGCCATCCATGAGCGTATTCTTGGGGAGGGACCGCTGACCGATCGAGTTGCTGCGATCGACGTCGTAGAAATCGAACGCAATACGGAGCGCTTGCTTCATGTGCGCGAGGTATTCGGCGTCGGACGCCTCTTCGTCGGTGCTCGACTCGGCGTGGCGCCGGCGCTTGCGCTTCGCCTTTGATTTTGCTCGGTCCTTGTACTTGCGAAGGTCGGCCACATTCATGCCCGACGAGTTCGACGACGCCCCCTCGTCGTCGGACGGCGCCAGTTGTCCGTTCGAGTCGCTTACATAGCGAACCTTCTTGGGTGTGGCCGACTGTCGGCGTGCCGATCTCGATGCCCGATTTGGCGGCGACGGAGCTCCCGCGCTGTCGGTGGAGCTGTGCGATTTAGCTTTGGACGATCTACGTCACGAGCGCGACTCAGAAATGAGTCTCAAGTAGTCCACATGTACCGTGATTTGGTTTTCTTGCCACGCGAGCGGTCGTTGCTGCGAGATGACTTCTTGGGCGGTGGCCTACAAGATTGATTGAATCCAACAAAAAGAATAGCCGCCCAAACTCACTGCTCAGAACTCGAATCGCTGGACGGGGGCGGCTTTCTAGTGATAATGGCACGTGTCTAGAAGTGACAGCAGATTGTCGGCATACCGGGATGATGTCGGTTGCTTCGCCTTTGTGGATGCTCTACCCCAAAGTCGTTTGTCCACGACTCATATTGGAGCTTGAGTAGAGTACTTGGTTTTGGTTTTGGGTGCATCGTCGTCGCTCGAGACCACTTTCTTCTTGCGCCTACGTACGTTCAAAGGCTCCTATTGGCGAACTTGACCGTGATAGTGATACGCTACCTCGGGGGCTCGCTGCTGTCGCTTCGCGGCTTCTTGGCCGAAGGACTAGATGATCATGTAGATTCATGGGATACTGCAGAACATTGCGCACCGCTTTTTCGAAGCTGCCGGTGCCTCGTCGCTCGAGATAGCTAGTTTTTTGGACTTGGCTCTACGTCGACAGTCATGAGAAAACGTTCGTCTAGTGGCACACGACTTGGCTCTCGGTTGCGGACTCTCGCTGTCGCTGCTGCTCCTTGCCGCAGGTTTCTTTTTAGCGGTCTTCTTGGATGGCGCCGGCGTATCGTCCTCACTCGACTCGGGCGGTTTCTTGACCTTGGCTTTTGGACTGAACAAACTAGACAGATACACGATAAGAGGTGCATGGGATGGCGTAGATCTACGATTTAATGGACAACTTTGTCCGCTTGGGCTTGGTCGCGGCCGCATCCGACTCGGACTCGGACCCGGGTACTTTTTTCGACTCTCGCTTTGATTTCCTATGCGCAGATGTGAGCGTCTCGACACTGCGACAGCACACAGGAGCGGTACGACGAGCTAAACGTAAAGCGAGCAGCCATTTTCTTGCGAAACGACGGCGAGGCTGGGGATGCCCTAGAGAAAAATCAGTAAAGGCGGTCGCACAACAGACGCCGTACGTCTCGGTGCCGTCATCGGCTTCGTCATCTTGTCCGAGAGCTCGGAGGAATTCGCCATACGCCATCTTGCCGTCCCCATCCGTGTCATACTCGTCCATCAAGCAGCGCAACTGGGCGTCCGTGACGGGCAAGCCAAGATCGCGCAACGCCTCTTTGAATTCGAGGCGCGTCACGATACCGTTGCCGTCCGCGTCCATCTCCTTGAAGATGTCGCGCCACTTGAGTTTCGTCTTCTTGAAGAGACGCTTGAGCTGATCATGGAGCTCGGCGACATCGTAGTGCAGTGACGGCTGCAGCCAGCGCGCAAATTGCTCATAGTCGACACCGGCGTCACCGTCGTCGTAGTGACACTCGAAATGCGCCACGACGGCAGCGACTTCCTTGTCTTTCAACCGAAAGTCCACGACAGTGTTTTCGGCCAAAAAGGTCTTGACGGCCCGGACTGGGAGACGCAGTCGCTTTTTCCGGTCGAGTTGCTTGAGAAACTCGAGAACATTGTACGGCTGTTCGCCCGACCGCTTGTCGTACGAAGCAATAGCCTTGCGCATGCCATCGCCTATCGCCGCGAGCTCGTCGAGGTCGTGCCGCGCCGATGCAAACTCGACGAATTGGTAGTAGTCGATGCCGCGTTTTTTGCTGTTCTGAAAGCAAGCGGCGACGGCTTTGAGTTGGTCTTTCTTGAGCTTGATTTTGGCCTTGCCAAGTCCCTTTTCAAAGCGATCACGGTCCAAGAAGCCCGACTCGTTGGCATCGAGGGCCTCAAAGATGGCGACGAGGTCTGTCGAGCTCCTCTGCTTGTCCTGCACGGCTTTTGTGAGGACGTCCAGAATCTCGCGCGAGAGCACGACACTGCGCGACTTGGATTGCGACGACCCCCGCGATTTGTCTTTCTTTTGTTTTGATGCCGTGTTGTCGCTGTCGTCGGGCTCGCCGATCGCTGCCACAAACTCGCGGTAGTTGATTTTGCCGTCGCCGTCCGTGTCATACTCGTCCACGAGACATCGAACCTGTGCGTCCGTGAGGGGCAACCCCATGGCTTGGAGCGTTTCTTTCAATTCGATGCAGGAAATGACACCGCTCGCATCGACGTCAATGTCCCGAAACACATCTTTGAGGCGCAGCTGATGCGTCTTCTGGGCGTGGTGGAAAAGCGATCGCACGGTGGCATGCAGCGCTTGGACGTCAAGATGCAACGTCGGCTGTAGCCAGCGAGCGCACTGGTCGTAGTCCACGCCTGTCACCGGTTTGGACTTGCCGCGCACCGGGTAGTCGTAGCCAAAGCGCTCGAGGAGTGTTTCAATCTCGGAGGCCGAGAGACGGAGGCCTCCGTGGTCGCTGAAAAATGCGTCGGCTGTCGCCGTCGGCATCCATCCCGCGTCTTTGGTATCGAGTTGCGTCAATTGCGTATGCAAGTTGGTCGGCGCTTCGCCGGACGCCTTGTCAAACGCCCGGAGCTGCGTCGATATCTTGGACCGGATTTTATCGAGCTTCTTCGTGTCTGGCTGATGCTGGAGGTAGTCAACAAAGGCGTAGTAGTTGATCGCGTCAGTCTTCTTCTTGACCCCAAAACATAGACATAGGCAGGCGAGGTGATCCTTCTTGAGCTTGATGCCGAGCTTGGCAACGCCTTTGCTGAACGCCGCGGCGTCGAGGTAGCCCCGCTCGTGTGTGTCGTATTTTTCAAACACGGCCGCGAGATCGAGTCCGTTCTTGCGGCGCTTGCCGTGCACGGCCGTGAGCATGGCAGACAACACACTCGGCTCAATGAGCGCCTTGAGACTCGGGATTTTCTTGGGCTTTTTGCTCTTGGTCGTCTTGCCAGTGTCATTTTCGTCGTCGTCGTCGTCATCGTCGTCGTTTTCACTGGGTGCACCAAACGCAGCGGCGAATTCCTTGTAGTCGATCTTGCCGTTGCCGTCGCCATCCACCGACTCGATGAGCCCCTTGATCTGCGCGTCCGTGACGGGGAATCCGAGGTCGTGGAGCGCCTCCTTGAATTCGAGTCGGGAAATGAGACCGCTGGCGTCGTCGTCAACGGCCTTGAAAATGTCAATGCAACGCAGCCCATGCGTCTTCTTGGCATGTAGAAAGAGTCCTTGGACACGCTTTTGTAAATCCTTGGCTTTGTAGTGGAACGACGGCTGCAGCCAGGCCGCAAATTGCGCATAGTCGATGCCGATACCGTCGTCGTCGTTGTTGGTGTCGTATTCAAACGAGAACCGATCTAAGAGGAGGCTGACTTGTTTGGACGTGAGCTCCATGTCGACGGGTCGCGTAAGGCACTTGCGAAACACGTCCGGTGCGAGCCACCCCCGCTCGTTCTTGTCGGCGCGCTCGAGCGACTCGTACAGGTTGAAGGGCTGCTCGCCCGACCGCTTGTCATAGTCGGCAATGGCCTCGGAAAGCGCGGCGGCAACCGCAGAGAGCTTTTCCGAGTCGCGCGTGCTCGTGGCAAAGTCCACAAAGCTGTAATAGTCGATGGCTTGTCGGCGCACCCGAAAGCAGTCCTGGACAACCGATAACTGGTCTTTCGACCACCCGACACCGAGCTTCTTGATGCACTTGGCAAACGTCGCGTCGTCGACGACGCCGACTTCGTCGGTGTCGTACTTTTCAAAGACGCGACAAAGACGCGCGGGGCTGAGCTTGTGCTTGCCAGCCACGGCGCTCGAGAGCGCGCCAAGCGTGTCAGCATCGAGGAAGGCAGCCGTCTTTTTCGACTTGGGCTTTTTCGTCGACTTGCTCCCAACGCTAATGCGCTGGCGGTCGTTCGGTTCGTCGTCGTCCGAGTCGTGGCGCCGGCTGCGCTTGACGAGTTTCTTGAACATGGCCGAGTGGGAAAGATCGTGACCTTTCGTCGAGCATCCGGATACCAACTACCGACACCACGCTCTGCCTGGTACCTGGAGCATGACAACCCCGTGTACTGCTGTGTGCCGTTGGCAACGCTTCTACCCTCACAAACTTTTGGTACCCACGCACAAGTCTCGTATAGAAAGGTCGATGCAATCTCGTGCACGGTATCGTTCTCGAACTCGGAGCTTGCAACCATCGTCTCGACGGGCGCTGCGAATGCTCAGAAACGTGGTCCTTTCGCAGTGTCTGTCTGCTTGTTCGAGTACGATAACAGTTTACTTGCAAAGTGGTCTGCAGACCCTTGGAGCCGCAACCGGTTATATGCGATACCCATCAAGGAATGACGGTTCCAAGTTTCGCGGCAAATCCAAACGCGACCTTCCAAGCGTTCGTATCCGTGCGATGAACCTATGCAAGCGAAAGTGGCATTTGGGTGCAGGCCTCTTCTTCGTAGTCGCTGCTGCTGTCATACTCTGGGCCCTTGGTCCATACGGCACAAGCAACAATGCTGCAACCCCAACGATCCTCACCAACGGAACGACACCAGCACCCGTCGATACCAATCTGACGACTGCCCTTGATATTCAGCTGAATTTAACGACACCATCTCCCGCCAGCTATACAAAAGGACCTCAACCGATTCCGACAACAGTCACAGCTACAACATCACCAGCGAGCACACAAACACCGTCTAGTACTACACCAACACCCACTGCACACAGCACGACAGCAATTCCAGTCCCAACGACGGAATTTCCAATCGCAACGTCGAGTCCATCTTCGACGACTTTGGCTCCCGAGGACACGCCGGTTCCAACGACGACGGCGCCAGCGACCAGTAGTAGCCAAGACTCGTCGGGATCGAGCTCGAGCTCGCACGCAGCGACGACGGCGCCGGCTGCGACCA